AACACATCCTGGTCACACAACAAACAAACAAATCCATGAACACATCCTGGTCACATACCACATAACCAAAACCATGAACACATCCTGGTCACACACCAACCAAACAAAACAATGAACACATCCTGGTCACACACCAAACAAACAAAACCATAAACACATCCTGGTCACATACCAAACAAACCAAACCATGAACACATCCTGGTCACACAGCAAACAAACAAAACAATGAACACATCCTGGTCACATACCAACCAAACAAAACCATGACCACATCCTGGTCACACATCAAACAAACAAAACAATGAACACATCCTGGTCACATACCAAATAAACAAACCCATGAACACATCCTGGTCACACAACAAACAAACAAATCCATGAACACATCCTGGTCACATACCACATAACCAAAACCATGAACACATCCTGGTCACATAACACATCCTGGTCACATACCAAACAAACCAAACCATGAACACATCCTGGTCACATAACACATCCTGGTCACATACCAAACAAACAAAACCATGAACACATCCTGGCCATTAACAGAGAATTTTAACATTCTGTTCCATCAAGATTGTCCATTGTTCATTTTTTTCAGTCGTTGGTAGTTGAAAATGTTTATAAGGAAGCTTAAGGCAAACATAAAATTATGTAGCCTCTCCCGTCACTTTGCAAAAACAAACAAATTAATTCCTCAAGTCAAAGCATTTCCTCTTTCCATCTAAACCCTCCTCTGACATTAATCTTCAAATTGTTGAAGTTGTTCAGTACCCCATAGGAGTATAAGTAGAACAAGATGGTATTGAGACAAATCAGCTGTTAACATACTTGAAAATGACAAGTGAAAAAAATGATCTGTGTTGGCCACCAAGGAGATTTCTTTTTTTTAAATATTCTATTCAAGTTGTCTTTCTTCATACAACCTTGCCAAAACATATGACAGTGATTCCTGGATCGTGAAATTGGTTGAAAAATGTTACTGGTTTTTGTTTCCATTATTAGATTGTAGGGTGTTAGATGACTCGCCCCAAAATCTAAACATCAAAAGCTGTTACACCCCAATTTTGATTGATGTCACCCAAACCATTTTGCCTCCAAAAGTCTTAATGCCCCATGCATTCACCCAAAAGCTTCAGAAACTATAGACCGAAATCAATGAATTTTGTGAGAAGATATTGATGATTTCCCCTGTAAATTGCTGATATCGGGTGATAACCCAGTGCGTACGTCCCGATTGATGAGGAAAATTTTAGGGTAGATCTTTCTACTTAAAATAATGGTATTGGAGGCAAAATGTTCAAAATTCAAACCAAGTTTGTTTTGAGTACATCAGGGTCTTATCATATCTGAAAGCTGCATTATGCAGATTTTTTTTACTGATTTTCTTTTTCTTATCTTTATACACTGGGGTCCAATAATATAACCGTAAATACATATAGTTTATATACAAACACATCATATTAGAGTGTCCAGCACCCTTGTTACAGACCCTTTTTTTCAATAGGTGCTGCACACATTGATTACATAGTATGTGACATCATATCAGTTAGCAGCTATAACGTAGCTTCTGACTATAAGATATTTTTTATATTGCGTCTGAGGGCAGAGGAGGCCAGGTTATTAGTACTACATATCAGTGTGTGCAGCACCTGTGCTTTTTCACTTACTTTTTTTTCCTAGATTGCATGCGTTTAGTTTCAGCAACTAGCCATCCTTTTCATTTGCCCAAGCTAAGGGGAGATAATCCAAATTGTTTTTTTTTACTTGGCGGAAAAAACATCCCAAAAAAACTTTGGAAGTACAGTGATTTTATCATATTTTCCAGTGTTAAATCAGGGTTATTATTGCTGTTTTTATATCTTTGATTCCCCTTGGTTGTGTACCAATCAAAACATCGATGGAATGCATATGGGGCACAGGTTACACACGAGAATTTCTGAAATTATTGAAATATAGCTTTTTCCTTCTAATAAGAGTACATGCATGAAAACCATGACAAAATGTCATGACATTGAACCTTAAATTTCATTGTTCATATGACAATTTGACACAACCGTTCTTGGTATGAAAATGACGATTTTAACACAAGGGGGATTCTGATGGTAAATGAAAGATGGTGGTCGCACGGTTTCGAAAATGTAGGCAATGCATTTTGCCATGTAAGACTTGTCGCTATACTCGTCAGATCAGGCAGTTTCAGTTGTGCTTCAATATGATTATTGTCTTTTTTTAATTTTGTGTTTTTTTAACATGAAATAACTGAGGCTGTTGTGAAAATGCCTTACTACATTCTACATTGAATTCATAAATTTAAATGTTTTTCCACTTCCAAAACTGTTAAGAAAATGGATCGGTACAGACTGTCACCTTGTGTTGGCTATTTTCAAGTTCTTGCCGGGAAATTAGTCATATTGTTATCCATTTAAATTCTCCAAATTTATTTTGGCTCAGCTTTAACCCAGGACCAGGCCTAGGTTAGCCCATATTTTAACTATTATATCTAAGCCATCCCTTTGGAATGTTTAGTTTATTCTAATGGTCCTTGTGCTTTGAAAAAGATGTAATCAACTCCAGATTTAGTGAAAGGTTTTTATTTATACTTCCTTTATAAAATAAGAAGCGTGTAACCCCCGGATTTGGATCTTGAAGGCGAGTTATCAGGATTTCTAATTTTTCCCTAGGGGACATAACTTTGTTTTCCAATTAATTTTTTGCATTATAATTATCAGAGTGATGTTAAACTTGAACTGTGAAAATCTCATTTGAAATCAGAAAAGGATATTGATTCTGATACTGTTGTAAAAAAGAAAAATATATGTTTGCACTATTTATGCCAAAATAAGGATGAGTACCCTTTTCAGAGAATTTCTTGAAATCCCACTTTTTTGCAGGTGCATTTTAAAATTTCAAACAGCTCTCAAGAATTCAGTTTTTAAGATGAAGTCATTTTCATTGGTGTTCTGTTATCAACAGATGGTGTCCCTGCAGGTAGGGCGGAAGAATTGTACCTGCATGCTGCACCCATTGCATGATCGTAAGAGGCGACTAAATTTGGGATCTTATCTTTTCTCTTTATTCTAAACAACTTTCTTCTTCCTAATGTCTCCCTTGACAATGTCTAGCTTTTGACCTTTAGTTGTGCGTTCGCCCTTGTGAGGAAGCTTAAGCGAGTTAAGGCTTTGGGTTCTGTTTGGGGCCTGGCCGAGACATACCAGAGTCTGTAAAAATGGTAGTTTCTACTCTTGCTTAACGCTCAGCAATTTAGGAGTGGGACGAATGGTTCGCCCGTTGTCAGTATAATGTGACCGGGTGGGGTGTTCTGCTGGGTGTCTTCGGGAGTATATTTCAGTGAGGTAGCACTATAAAGTCTGCATCAGTTCCGCGCCATCATAAAGAGACAAACACAAACATATCACAGCCTCCCAAAACACTAACACTACACACATGCATCTTGCACACATGGGAGGCCGTCCTTAAATGACCATAGCTGTTGATAGAACGTTAAACAATATTAAACAAAATCAGCAGATGGTAATCATTTAAAAAATACTAATTAATACAATCAGGGATGTTGATACAATACACTTTCTTTCAAAAAAAATGGTTCGGCATCGAATTCAGCGCCAGAATCATACTTGGACAAAAAAGATACTATTGGTAGGTAGTTGAATGTCATATTAGTTAATGTCACAGCATCCCGACCTATATCAAAATGTATAACATATGTAGCAACAGATAAAAATATAAGGGCGCCTGCTAACATGGAATTCAATCATTTCGTTTTCCCATTGGTTTTTATTATCATTTCACTTGCTGTCTGTCAGACTAAGAAGTAGTAGTGTGTCGTACATTACCTAGATGAACTTTGGAAGCTCTCAGCGGAATCGACCTTTGGAAACCATGAAATCTCGGGCTGTCGATCAGACTATCAAAGGAAGCCATCTTACTTTGAATTTCGTGCCCCTTTATTTCCCATAATGCACCCGACTTCCGTAAACAAACACTGCCACGTGCTTCTGTGTGTGTTTGGACAAAGACGTTTAGGCCTAAGGCAACATATGATAAATGCTCTATTAGAAACCCTACTTTTATAAAAAAAAAATAAAGAAATCTACAAGTCCTTACATTAACCAAAGTTCCGTGTGATTGACCTCGAGTTGCGTTGTACTAAAATTAAATTTCATTGCACAAATAAATATATTACAGTGCACACGTAACATGGGAAGCAACTCTGAATCTATAACACATCCCTGGCCAGAGTGAAATTATGAATAAAAATATTAAATATGATAAAGATATTTAAATATATAAGTAATACAATCATCAAAGTCACTATGAAATATCTACAGACATTATTTAATATAGACTGATTATTTTTTCATTGAAAATTTTCCACACTTCAAAAGTTCAAAAAAGCATCTGACTTTAGGATATATTCTTATAATTTTGATTTTCATGTTTGGATAATCAGGGACAGTATATAGATATATCCCTGGGATAATGTAGAGAAAATATCGAACTATTTTTGTGGAGGTTTTACCCTTATGTTCTGATGTCTCTTCAGTTTTGTTTTTCATATCAAATTGAGTTATCATTTTATTCTGGTATGATTTTTTTTGTAGTTTATATTGAGCTTATTATATTATTTTTACTAAAAATTGAATTGAAGGAAAGACAAACTCTTCCTAAGATAAGATATCAGGGGCCATAACTCTCATATTAGCAGCTTAATAGGTTAGATGTGTATAAAGCTTCCTTAATAAATAGAGGAGAGGACCAGGTTACAAAACATCAACTGGGATATGATTTGCAACTTTTTTTAAGGTTTACAATTGCAGCCAACTAAAAGGTGGGCAGTGATGTCAGTACCATTAAAATTGGTCCTTCCAGTACAGCAGTGTTACTGACAACATGGCATCCATACGCCGACAACCTAAATTGCAGTATTTCCCGTAACTTATTTTAAGAGGGAAAACTAAATAATTACAACAATATTTTTACATAGATATATTTATTACAACAAAATTAACAAAGTCTACATGTATGACATAATTGAATTTACATAGATGAAATAGACAAGTTGCAAATGTACACATTGTAGTAGGTAAGAATTAATAACAGCCTATTTTTAACTCGTAAAATTAATTATACATTTATTAGTGATAGCCAAGGGGGCATCAGAAATACAGTAGATATCAAATTAAAAAGGATACATTCTCGTATTAAGGTAAACTAATAAAACATCCCTTTTTTCATTTTCAAATTAAATTTAGATTAAAAATTTGGAAATAGGCTTTACATTTTTTTTTCATTACACAAGCTTTTATTCCTGAATTTTAAAGTCATTTCCTCTCAAATTAAGAGATCAACTGCTTCATTTTGTGGATATGTACGAAACACTTTGATTCAAAGGATTCATGCAATGGTACAGAAACATTGTTACATGATCAGAAACTGTAAGCCATTCATGCAGTGAAGACTGGCTCTGATACAGAAACATTGTTGAAGGAAGACTTATCATTAGTTATCAAAATATTCCAAAGTAGATTATCCATAAAAAATAAATGCTTAAGGTATTTACAGTGATATATCATGGCTGCTATCATTGGTAGGGTGCAAGATGAGCATACAAAATGTATTGTATGTTTTTACATTGGCATAGTCAAAAGAGAGAAAAAAAGCAAAAGGGGAGGTTTGAAGAAGAAGAAATGCAGTTGAAAAAAACCAAAACATCAGGAAATAGATAAAGACAATAATAGATAAATGACATAGTACATGTATTTGAATTGAAAACAACATCCTCATCTGAAATCCAGACAAAGTGTAAATCCAGCATACAAATAGAAAAAGCATGAATTTATTGATATATAAAACAATGCATTATTGCATAACTTATAGTAAGTTAAAAATAGCATAGAGCAAGATCATTTCATACCTGTTTTTTCAAAGTTATTAAAATGTTATAATCACACATCTTTACATCATTTTGAACACACAAGTACATTGTACTAAGGATTTATGCTACTGTAACTGTATTGACCCTCTCCTGTCTATAAGTGTTGTTCACTTAAGAAGCTGTATAATTTGGTGACAAATTTTAAAGTTTCCAAAGTTGAATACATTGACAGAACATGAGAAGTTCTGCAATAATTACTTTATAAATAAAAATAAAATAATTTAATACATGTTTTTTTTTTAAAACGTTCAGAATTTGTTAGTTCATTGGTTATTTGCAACAACTTTTCAAAAAGAACTTTTAAGAAAATAAAATAGTTTAATAAACTTTTGATTTAATAATGCAGCTACCTCCCTTTAATAAACCTGACAACAGGGAAAAATATTTGAAAAGAATATTTCACAATCAATTTCTTCAAACGAAACTAAACATTGCATAGGATTGGAAAACACTACAAGTAATGAATTATGAAACATATAATTTTGTTGACTTTATTTTTTGAACTCCTAAATGCAAATAGTAACACGATAGGGAGGACCTGCAGTTAACACCTTTGAACAATCATCAGGCTAGAGTAGATACCAATTCTCAGTTCATCGATGTTTTCATGTTTTATAATTGTAATGTGTATTCCATGAATATACAGAATTGTATATATATAAAAAACAAAAACTTTATTAATACAAAGCCTTTCAGCCTCCATTCACATCAGACCTTTGATTTGAATATATGGAAAGTCTGATATCTTCATTTATTTTCTTGAAGACAGTATCATTATTTATCTCAGAATAACTTAAAATTTACAAAGTTCCACTTTAGGATCGAAATGACTCCAGTGTTGCTTCCACACTTGCAGCACTTTCTTCTACTTCCTTTTTCAGCGAAGCAAACTTTTTTATCTGAAATAATACAAAGAGACTTTGTCAATATGTATTGATTAATATCTATAACCCTGTGTATGTCTGATGGGTGATGATGGTGATAGAATACATGTATACATATTCTGATGATCATTGATTGATTTTTCAAAGATTATTTAACAGATTATGACAATATTTCTTATTCGTAATTGTGATGTCAAATAACATACTAATTATTGTTTAAATCGGTCATTGTTTAATGAATGAAATCTTCAAATACGGTAATAATGAGTATTGGCCCTATCCTATTTATCTCCCCTTGATCACCATCCAGAATGATACATTATCACCAACAGATAGTTTTTTTGACCTTTTGAAATCTTCCACTGTCAGATGACAACAATAACAAAATACAAACCATTCTGTTTTTCTGTATCTGCATTGATAAGCGAATAAATTCCTCCATGGTTAATTTTTCAACAGGTTTGTCCAGGTTCAGGAATAAACAGGACGAAGAATGCTTCCTGTGCTCATCCCTTTGAGAAAAATATATAAAAACAATCATTTGGAATACCTTCATGTTATCTCACACAGGTGAATGTATTTTGCAAATCTAACAAAGTAATGCAACATAATGCAGTAAACAAGAAACATTCCTTAATAAAGATAAGCAACAGAGTTTAATGTATGCAGTTATAAGTATGAAATAACTGCATCTGTGACAATGCTTAAAAGATATGAATAATTTAATTCGACAATATACACACACAAAGATTTAGCCTTAGGAAAACTGTTCACTAACAATATACATGCTGATCGTTCAAAAGATGGCAAGCCGCAACATGTAATTTTGATATTTTTGTGTGTAATATATATGCAGTTTCAAATTTTGTAGAAACTGTATTGTTAGCCAATCAAAAATTAAGTCAGCATTCAGACTGCACTATTTGAGTCAGATCTTAAACATGTCTACTGGAAAATGTGATTAGGTGTACATGTATTCACTGCAATACATGGTAATTTTGTGATGATAAGTTAAAGTTTTTATCATAAAAAAGCAATCTAGTAGAAATGTGTGATTATGAAAGAAATTATCCTTTTTTATCCAAAGGCCTGATATTTTGTGGTCAATCCTTCTCATGCAACCAACTCAATTTAAAAGACTACATGTGTTAAGAGACCAATTTTAATGCTCCCCTTTAAAGTTAATTATTCACTGTTTAATGAACCTGCATTGATCATGAAGAGACCACTTCCATTATGAGACTCAAGGTTGGTCTTTCAATACAGATTTGGCTGTATCACGGTTACATGGGGAAAGAGTATGCTATCAAAATAGTAATACAATAAGCTCTTGATAATTTGTATTTCATTATAATTTATGGAAAAAAATATATGCAAATCAGAAGCAAGCAAAATTTCGTCTGTCAATACATAAATCACGATAATCGGTCTCCACATGTACAAAGAATCTTCCAAGATAAGATCATATTTACATTGTCAGCTATTGTCAAGATGTGGTGGAATTATAATCAGGTTCATCTAGCACAACCATTGAAAAGTTTATGCCTGATATTTCGATGAATTAAGTATGAAACAAAAGAGCGAAAGAAATTCACCAGGTTTAAAGAGAAGGTCCCAGATAAATGAATTAACAATCAAAGCTCATTCTACATAGAAAATCATACAATCAACATTTAAGTGATTAAGTGACAATTGATGCAAGACATCTGAATGGGCCACAGTTGAGTGAGTTGACCACTTCTAAATTGAGATGATGGGTCCAAAGACTTGCATATAACCAGGCACTATTAATACAAAGCATAGCAGAATTTATGTGTTGATTTGTCCTGTCGTACATTTTTAAGTCATCGGATTATTTTATATGCACATTGCACTGGTTGTGCTTGATGAACTGTATTCAAAATATTACAGTCACTAGAATAAAGAATGAACATTGTACCAGTATATTTAACAAGAATACCGCGGGGCAGAACAATAAACACCCGTCGAATGCCATATATAGTGTTATATACTTTCTTACATTGAAATAAATCTGCATCATTCTAAGAGTGGTTAGCCGACATGCTATAAAAAATGTAGGAGAAAATCTCCGGATAAAAAATCAAATGGCAATAACTTTTGCAAAAATTGTTGAATCAAAATTCTTTTAAAGGAGACACAACTTCATATCATGATTATAATGTTTACCAAGTTTCAAAGAGATTGGTAAACAAATGTAGGAGGAGATTGCCAGACAAACAAAAGTTTACGCCGGACGGACAACCCCATACCATAATGCTTTCTGTCAAGTTTGACGGGCGTATAAAAAAGAAATTATATTAAGAAAATGAAAATATGTGTTTACCATGGATTATCACTTCTCTCCCAACCTTCAAGCTCCTTGAAGCATACAAAACATTTGCAGGCATCAGGTGCATCTTTGGTTGGGCAATGGTAGAAACCAGCAGCAGCCATCTGCAATGAAGATAAGATGAAAAATAGAAATTAGTAATTAAATCATGCGTAAATAAGTATTTAAGGTTCCCTTGATATTATTTACTTTGAGGTAAACATATATATCAATCTGAATTTTAACTACAGACCAATCCATTTTTTTGTCATCCCTGTTAGTGCTAAAGTTACCACCTGCAACACTGATATCCAAAATTGCCTTCTTCTAGATGACAAAAACTGATCACATGTTGTAATACTAGTATAGGAAAAGATTACATAGGTAGGCACTGCCTGTTATCTTATCTAATTAAAATTTGTTAAGATGAGAATTCACCAGTTGCTGATCAGCTACATTGATTTGATCACTGAGTTATCACTGAGTTATCACTGGTCATGATTATTTGCCTTTTCTCATTTTTATTTTTAATCCAAACAAAATGAAGAATTATATTTCTATGCTCTATTCATAGCTACTCTAGATCTTTACCTATAGGAAATGGATGTGATACAGAATGCCACCAGCTTTTGTGATGTTTGAAAGAAATTTATATTTATATATCAGCGATTTTGTTTCTCAATAAACTTAATCTCACAGTAAATATTAAAGGGTAAGAGAGGCGGAATTCCAGATATATGTAAAAGGTTGAAAACATAAGTCCAAGTGCCGAAAATGATATAATAAATTAATATTATATCAAAACGATTTTTGGTAAAAGTAGACTGAAACATCTGATACAAATATCATCTTCTTTGTAATGCATGACTTTCTTGGGCCTTTTCCCACAATTTAAGTGTCCCATTTTGGGTATACATATATATACTGGACAGTAAGGTAGCAGTATACGGTAGAGAGGTGTGGCCATGGGTGATATTTTAGTTAAATGACTAACCCCTGTATAATGATATGTAAAAAAAAATATAAAAATAAAACTGTACTAAAATTGGTATAAGCATGATGAAGTGGGCTATGTGAGCTTCACATTTGTAAAAAAGAAAGAAGATTTTTTTTGGTTCGAGAATAAAATTTTGGCCATAATCCGAAAGGGTGCGTACACATGAAAAGCTAGCTTTACAGGAGGTAAAATTTTGACAACAGCACACGACGCAAAATTGCAAAAAATCAAGTTTTACAACTTTACTGGGACCCAGATAATTCTGCAACCAGGTAGGTAATCTTTAATTTCAGACAGAGCTTAGGAAAAAAATTACTACTTGCGGGGGTCAAATTTTGGGTTAAAAATAGCATTTTTTGGCATTTTTTGGTAATTTTTGATGTGGTAACCATGGTTTTCACACAAGTGACATACATAGAAAAAAGAGGTTTATACACTTCTCAGTGCTTTATATGTATTGTAAATGTAATGCAGTTTACAAATATATATACATGTATACATGTGTTGTGTAGGGTAAATCCGCTGTGTTTACATTTCCTGGACATGTGCCTTGTTTATTAGAGTCGGGCCATTTCCACTGTATACTGCTACCATATACACATAGAACTTGATTTTTTCTGAAAAATGCCTTTTTATGCTTGATTCAGCTTCACTTTCATTCATTAATACTTAAAACTACTCAAAAACGCCAAAACCCCGTTACATAGATAGGTCAATATATAGGTTGATAGCCTGTTACCTGTGGATGTATAAAGAGGGGTAACTCGCAGGCACTTGTGAAATTCTGCAATTCATCACATATGTGAAAATTGTGTTATTGGTAAAATTGATACAAACATCAAATAGTTCACAGGCTATCTCCTGATGCATTCATGCTAGATTTCAGTCTGTTTCACTCAGTTCAGCACCCGGTAGCCATGGTTACTAATACATAAAGTTGTTTTTATTGAAAATGGGTAAAATATCTGTTTTCATTCTAATTACACTATTTTAGATGGGTTTTTTCCACTTGATTCAGCATACAGATGAAATAAGCAAAGTCAGTTATGTCAATAAATTTTATTTCCATAATTACAGCTGAAGGAAATCTTTTTTTTCTAGCGAAATATGTTAAATGAACAAATTCTGAGGGTCACTGTCAATTCTAGGCGCGGAAAGTAAATAACGGTTGCTATGATGGCACTTGTCTGATTTTTCAGAATATCTGACATTTCTGTGCTGTTCATCGGTTACGGGAAGTGTGTCTGTTGCTAGTTTGTTGTTGAGATGGGTTTCCAAGTGTTCAATTTTTTGATATCTATGATAGATGCCCATTGATGACGTCATAGTTATGATGACATCACAGTTAGTATGACATCATCAAACAAGACAGTAACATCATAGTATCACTGTACTGTTTGTTTTTCACACGCACATGATCTCAAAGCATCAAATTTCACCCAAAAAGAAATTTTATTCATGAAAACTACAAACCTATTCAAGTTTTTATTTTTCAGATTACCTCCCTTTGTTGGTATTTTGAGAGCAGAATTGGTAAATACACCTGTCAGGAGAATTCATATTACTCGGTCACTATTAAAGTGAGAAAGGAAATGGATACATCGTTGTGTTCATTGTCTCATTTTCCAGACATTTAAAAGGTTTTAATTAAATTTTGGGAAAAAGACAGTTTGTTTGTTTGTTTGATTTTGTTTAACGTCCTATTAACAGCTAAGGTCATTTAAGGACGGCCTCCCCTGTGTGCAAGATGCATGCGTGTAGTGTATGTGTGTGTATTTTGGGAGGCTGCGATATGTTCGTGTTTGTCTCCTTGCATTTTTGTGATAGTGCGGAACTGATGCCGACTTTATAGTGCTACCTCACTGAGACATACTGCCGAAGACACCCAGCAGGACGCCCCAAAAGAAAGTGATGTAGCAGTATACAGTAGAGGGTTGTGGCCATGGGTGATATTTTTGTTAAATGGCTAACCCCTGTATAATGATATGTAAAAAAAATATAAAAATAAAACTGTACTAAAATTGGTATAAGCATGATGAAGTGGGCTATGTGAGCTTCACATTTGTAAAAGAGAGAGAAGATTTTTTTGGTTCGAGAAAAAAAAAAACACATGAAAAGCTAGCTTTAATTTACAGGAGGTAAAATTTTGACAACAGCACACGACGCAAAATTACAAAAAATCAAGTTTTACAACTTTACTGGGACCCAGATAATTCTGCAACCAGGTAGGTAATCTTTAATTTCAGACAGAGCTTAGGAAAAAAATTACTAGTCAAATTTTGGGTGAAAAATAGCATTTTTTGACATTTTTTGGTAATTTTTGATGTGGTAACCATGGTTTTCACACATGTGACATACATAGAAAAAAGAGGTTTATACACTCCTCAGTACTTTATATGTATTGTAAATGTAATGCAGTTTACAAATATATATACATGTATACATGTGTTGTGTAGGGTAAATCCGCTGTGTTTACATTTCCTTGACATGTGCCTTGTTTATCAGAGTCGGGCCATTTCTACTGTATACTGCTACCTAACTCACTGTCATGCAATGCAAAGAAGTATGTTCATGTATGCTAGGGCTGCAACAATACACATTGAATACTTCACAGTACAATACATTTCACAGTATGATGTATGATACCTTATGATTTGGTCCGTACCATATGATACACATATATATTATATCAGGTCAAAAGGTAAACTTCATATTGAATGAATGCAGGATTTTACAGTTTTGACTAGACTAAATTATAACGTATATCATTATTTTTTCATATTATTCCCGATAAGTGATTGGCCAGGAGTGCATCATGTGTCCACCGATAAAAACTGATATTGACTCGGAGCGCATGATTTTTGTTGAAGGACAGTTCTAAAAATAGAATTATGACGTTTCTCCAAACAACGCACTGTCCCACTTCCGAAGCTTTTTTGTTGTGTTTTTTTTTCAGATTGCTTACATCACTATTTTGGAAAATATTAAAACCATTGTAGCCTTTAACTTCGGTCAATACCTGGATTTATCGACTTGAGAAAAGATAAATTGACCGAGGACGCAGTCCGATGTTAAAATTTCTTTTCTCGGTTGATAAATCCAGGTATCGACCTCAGCCATAGGCTATAATTGAATAGTATACATATATAAATGCTGCCAAAATAAAATGTTTGTGTAATATGATTTTAAATACTTCTGCACAGTGGCCAACAACTGAATGGAAAGATTCCAAAACAACAAGTAAACTCTTTTGAGTTAAAAAATGAAAAATAAAATGATAATTTCAGTACTGTTAATTAGTGTATGTATCGCAATACTGGCAAACAAAACAATTTGAAATGATTCATACAAAAGTATCACAATACAATATATCGTTGCAGCCCTATGATATATTCAATTTTCAATTGATGATGCTTTTATGACAATTAAAATGTATATTAGCTTTATTGGCTACATTATTATGATTAAATTAATGGACAGCTATATAGCTTAGGCTAAAGGCTAGAATAATCACAAAAACAAAACTGTCTTAATGTACGTGCCATGCGCTGCTATTCATTTATTAGGATATCATTTTCAAAAATTAATCAGAATGTTCTCTGAAATATTTGAACTCATGATCATGTGCAGGGACGTATACTGTCCCTGTCATGTGTAACAGGAAAAAGATTGAATAGTGTGATTTCTCCAGGGATTGAACCTGCGACCACAGACTTCCTAGTCAGACGCTCTACCACCGAGCTAAAGAGAAATTCCCATTAATCTAGAAGGCGTAATCCTGTGAACAATCAAAATCTGCCACAAACTTATAATTTAAAGCTTATAAAAAATATTTAGCCAAAATACCAATTCGTCCCTTTCAGAATACAGTTACAAATGTTCAAGGGACTAAATGACCCTACGAGTATTTCGCGTTCTATTTATAGAGCCAAATGCACATCAACTCGTTATAGTAAAAAAATAGGGGATGGTGTCTATTTGCGAAAAATGCACAACCGGAAAATGGGGGCGAGGGGGGGGGGCATATCATTCATTCGTCTACATATAGCAATTACCTTTGCCGGAGAACAACTTCCTGTCTTAAATGGCCATTTCTTGAAAGAATTGAACCTTTCATCTTCCGTGTGCATAAAATACTCTTGATCGTCTCCCATAATTACGTTTGCAGGTATATGTTATCTTAGAACTTTCAAATAAAGCGCTCTTCTAAAAATCCGGATATTACATTATCATTCTAAATTTAAAAATGGATCATAATTCCGGAAATCATTTCATCATCATTTTCCATTTCGCTTGTGATACATTTTATATGCATCAAAGTATAAATTGTATTACTGTAATGTATGGTAGAATGTTGTGCTCATGCATTCAAAAGAACTGATTATGTAATCAATATAAGAGGATATACTTAAAAAAATTACACACACAGATTAATGAGATTGTTTCCGCTTCCACTTTTAGATGCATTATGTCATTTCCGTAAACAAAGAAAGTCTGTCATTGAGATTTATCTACGTTGTTCTAGACACTTCTGAAAAAACCTGACACACCATTTTTAACTTGCTGATGAGTAACATCAATCATTTCATCAACAGCAAGAGCGCACAGTAGACGACTGGTTAGTTGGTAAGATTTTGATAGTTTGCAATGGATGAAGTGCAGAAAAGTATTACTCAGGATTGTATCACCTGTTAGCTATAGTTAGTCATCATTCTATTAAAGGTTAGATTATTGGCTATGTGGTTTTATTGTCTTTTCTTACATCATTTAACAACATACAGATAAAAATCGAAAATATGTTTTTGTCCTTTGATAGTTTTCATTTTTATATAAAGTCTTCTTGGTTGAGAAAGGGCAGGTCCAGTACACTCTGCAGATTGAGCTATATATATATAAAGTTATAGCTGTAAAAACCTATAATAGCTCTATTGACCTATCTGATATAGGTCTTTTGTTGAGCTATTTTCATGTGATTTCCTTTTTTAAGGAAAACGAAAGTCGCTTTTAAAAGAAGATTTTATCATTAGGTAGATAACAAAAAACATTAAATATAAGCATTCTTTTTAAAAAAAGAAAATAAAAATGAAAAATGAAAATAAACATCTAAATGTATGCTTTTAGTAGTCAACATTAACCATAAACCTTATTGTTTTATGCGACTTTCCTTTAATTTAATGAAAATTGAAATCTGAGAAAAATATAGGTCAATACAGCTATAATTTACAGGTGAATATAGCTATAAAGGTCTTTATAGCTATATAGCTCAAACGGCAGAGTGTACTGGACCTGAAGGGATAGAAGGGTACAAGTTTTCTCCTATCAAGGGCCCATATATATATACACACTGGAAAATGTTGAAACATAACTGATATGATTGTATCAAGTACAAAGAACACCAATATCTTAAAAGAATCATCGTGTATAATTATGGTAATATGGCAAAGCCTGAAAAGAGCATACTATAGACAGTTATATATTCTTATTTATTTAGAATTTTACATCTTAGATGATTTATTCATATACAATACACAGTGCCATATTGTAGTATTGTAAATATTCAAAATATCTACATCTAACTGTTACATCTTCCACTGCCTGTCAATCATTTAACCGTTGAAAAGTTACATAGATTGTAATGTTATAGTATGCTGCATGTTATATCACTTATATGATATGAACTTGTTATTTGTTCATTTTATCAAACTTTAAGAAGATATAGGAAAATAACACATCAATTCTAAATTCTAAAATTTGTTTGTACTGTGTTTTATTATGTTCCATGGCAATGAGAGATCTGTCTCTCAATGAGACCAATTGATAACATGAACTGCATTAGTTCTGTTCTGTATTTTATTTTGTAATGGTAGCCTTGCTGTTTTAAGATGAAGGATCTTTTATGGTTTTGGTGCCAATACCATAAGCAGGTCAGTGATAATAGCATGTTTACTGGAATCCAACAAATGTTACAATTAAGACATAATGTTTATTTAGTATTGATTTTTTGATTGAGAGAGCACATGCATATATGCACTGGCTTAATTAATCCAGAATTGTTGAGTATGGACTAAAAGTTTATGCTTTACTTCCTTAACCTATAGCTGGTGGATAGTGGTATATTCCTGGTTATAATATTGTCAGTAAAATACAAAGTTTACTCTTTAAAAAAAAAAGATTTATATGTTTAGTTCATTGTATATATTTTTTATATTTTTTTTTATTAGAAATCGTAAATAGCCTCCCTTGTGCTGATCAAGAGAGAAGAAGGATGGCAGAGAAGGGAGACAAGGATGAGTTGGATTTCCCCTTGGGTGGAGTTACATCAGATAATGAGGATGAGCTTAATTCCTCCATGGCAAGCACTGGGAGTGAGGAAGGACACGATATAAAAAAGAGACGAACACAAACTCCCAGTCCGCGCAGGGCTTCACCATTTTCAGTTCCAGGTAAAAGATATTCATTGTAAACTGTATAAATTCATGATCATTGATTAAGTTTGGTAGTCTCATGTCAACTGCTATTTGATGGTTGTGCTTTATGTTGAAAAGGGTAAATAGAGGGAAGGCAATTTTATTGACTGATTAAAAATAACTAGCAACTATACTTTGAGAAAACTGAACTTGTACTATATAGTGACATATATAGCAGCCTGGTAAAATACTAGACGCTTCCTAGTCCTACTAACTTGGCTAGGGATTATTTCGCTGTAGCTCAGTTGATAGAATGTCAGAGGAGTAAACCAGAGATCGCTAATTTGAGCCTTTGCGAAACATTGCTTTGACAAATATTGAATTCAGTTATATTGCTATTGTGATAGGGACAAAGGATATGTTAAAAAAAAAACTCAGCTTATCTCTCACGAGCATTTCTGTTAACCATGGAAACTCTGGTCAAGTACTTTCCTGTAGGGGGAGTTGTTGTCACTCTGGAAAAAAACTAGCCACTTCCTACCAACTCGGGAGAGCATCAGAGTAATAAACCAGAAGTCTTTGGTTCAGCTCCTATCGGAATCCTTGAAAAAGTTATTACCAGCGTCTTACATAAGCTACATGTATAATTATTGCTGCGGTTAGGTATATATAATGAAATAATTTTACAGCCTCACCACCTCAGTTCATGACAATGGAAGAACTCATCAAGGCGACTGCTGGGGTTAAGAATATGAGCCTTGCTCATGAGATAGCAGTGGATGCAAATTTCAAGATTGCTCCTGCAGAAAAGGATCCTAAAAGGTGAAATATTTAGAGGATATCTATTGAATGTCTGGTTTTCAAAATTTTATTATTTCATCATAATGTTATGATCGATGCTTGACACATTTTTATTTCAAGAAGATCTTGGCTCTCTTAAATATTCAAAATAAATTTTGACCGGAATCAGCCTTTACTTAAGTTTCCTTGGGGCAATTTTAGGACAAAGTCCAAATTCAAGAACAAAAATTGAGGTTAAAGTTAGGTCAGATGGTTCTCATCCAGGGCATAATTTTTCAAATGATTAAAATATTACTGAGATTGTACAGACATGCCATTTATAGGTTATGTGTAAATGGGCTTTCAAAGGACCCTCACTTCAAAATCAAGATAACAAACTGACATAAAATAACAAGGACTGACTGGTAGAGGTGTTCTGATCACTCAATCTGTGTATTGATCACCAGTGCAGTACACTTATTAGTTATAAGTGTGTAAAATGCCATACTTTTGAAGACAAATTTTTGAGATGCTTACGGTAAAAAGATGTTAAAGGGTGAGAAAAATTGACAAAAAAATGTTTGCTTTACAATTGTTAAAATGTATTAAGATATTTTAAAATTATCTCCAGCTATCATTTGGAAAAGACTCTTTAAGATATACAACCCAAATAAAGAGTTTTCCTCAGAAATGTAACAGGTCCACCGTGACAGATCGATCGGTCCCAATCTGTATAAAGGCAAGCCAAAAATCACATTAAATTATAAAATATAGTCCTTAATTTGGGTGAGAGTTTTAGATGTACATTAAAAAAACCAAAAACCATTATGATTGATACTTAACAATCAAGAGTATTTATCTACAGAAAGGTGTGTGTGTGTGTGGGGGGTCAACTAAAACTATAAAACCTGCTGTAAAAAATATACATTGTTATCAGTCTAATCTGAGACCGTAATTCGGTCTGTTTGTACACTGACATTGTCAGAACCACTTTCTTGGCTAGTTTAGTTTGGACAAAAATCCAGACTGGACAGAGGGCAGTTTATACAGAATGTACTGTATATATATGGACTTCGAAGATCAAACATTCTTGCATCCATTGTTAGGAGTAGACTGAATGTGATGATAACATACTATTTTCAGTTTAGGTTCTTTCAAGCTTAATATGATGTAGTTGTAATGTGTATTTTTTTCTAAGAATTTCTTGTGTGTATCTTTCATACTAGCTAGCTGCTTAAATTATTTTTTGAAAAGTTTTATGGTTCAGTTTTGTTTTTGAAAATTATGCCTTTTATCTTATACAGTTTTGAAAAGCAAGTGGAAGTTATAATGCACAAGGCGTTTTGGGACGTGTTCCTGGAAAATATCAACCAAGATCCTCCTAACTACAATCATGCTTTAGTCCTTATTGGGGACGTTCAGAAGGTAAGTGATTTAATATGAAGCACTGGTGAGCCAGCTGTATTTCCATTGTATAATGTATTGATTAATTGATGAAGACTGTGTCTGCTGTATATACACTGTCTTACTGTATTATATTTTAACGTGGTATAATTTGGTGAATGGGTGACTACAATGCTGTAAGTGAAACAAGCTACTGGTAGATTCCAAGAATATGTTTAGTTCCACTTTCCTTTAAATGAGACCAGGGTTTTACAAACCTTGGCCAACTCTATGGAATATAAAGTTGTTTTTTCATCACCAGTCTTACATAGCTAGCAGTATTTCTGGGTTTTAGTTTCCAAGGTTTAGATTTTATTGTGGAACTTTGTAACAACTACTGATATTACCCAAATCATTGTTGTACAGTGTAACCTTTTATATACATTTTAAGATTTTATCAATGAAAATCTCAACACCAAACAACAGCAGGTCTAGTTAGGTTTCAGTGGCCTATCAAGGGGTTATTGATAGTTTACTAGCAGGGAGTAATCCTCAGCTGGTAGTACATTATACATGATCTAGAATAAATTATGTCAATGTTTCTGTCAATGAAATGTTGTTGTTTCCTATAACATTGGTTATGCACTGTAGAAAAAAATGAGTTGCAATTATTATTATAACAGTTACCAGGTAATTATGTTCTTTTAACAATGTGTGCATTCCTGGTGTACCAGCTTTCAGAAATTTACACTAACGGTTGCAGTAGCAACAGCTGGTGTTGCCAGGTTACACAAATACCGGTAGTTACATTAACAACTGTGTCATATATAAGGCTACATATAAGTTAACACCACTGGTTGTTACGGTATACAAATTGGCCCATTATTTAGCATGACTTTGGTCGCTATTACCAATACATTGTCTATAAACTAATCGCACTTCAAGGTCTGACCTTTCTGCAGATGTATGACATTATGATGATGAAATTACACAAAAATTGTTTGAAGTTATAGACTCATTTTGCAAAGTATTTAGGATTATGTTTATGCATTGTTATTCTTCAAAAAGATCATTGAACTATATGCTGACTGATCAGATGTTAAATGTTTTCAGGGCAGAAGAAAATATTGTGTATGTTGTGATTAAAATGTAGTGTTTTATATTCCTACAGCAACTGTTTTCAGTCATACTGCCAAACCAGGTACGACTGAAAGCCCAGATTACCGAGGTCCTTGACTTGGACCTGATCAAACAAAAGATGGAGAATGATGCATTTGATCTCTTCTATTATTCCAACTATGTTATCAACATCATGGCTAAACTGTGTTCTCCAGAACGAGATGAGAAAGTGGCACATCTACGAGAGATAAAAGAACCAGTACCATTGTTTAAGTGAGTACTGTGAATGAAATGGGGATGAAAGAACTTCATATACAGTGTTACCAGACCTATTTATTAACTCTTTAGGGCATTAAACATTACTACTAGTGATTTGCTTGTGAGCCTTACCTTTGTGAGTTGTCTCCCTTAAACTATATGCCAGCTTGAACAAACTTCTGCATCGTATTGACAGGCTGTGAATCTCAATTATTTATCACTGGCTATTGAGACATAAATGAGGTACCTATACATGCAATGTTTTACAGAGAGGAGGTATATTTGACTTGTTTATACAATAGTGTTATTTGAGATACCTGTATGTTGGTTTGTTACACGGGAGAAGGGAGAGTTGTATACACCTAGCTGTTTGAGATGTTTTCATGTTTTATTTAAGGAAAACAGTTACATCTGAGACTTGTTTGGTAGGTTGGAGGGATATTTGGGATACCTGTATTTACATTTTTCATGTGTAAGTAAGGGGATATATGTACATTGTACCAGATATATAAGATTTGATCTGCATGGTTATGAGATATTTTAGGGCTATATTTCATATTTATGAGACTTATTTTGTATAATAGTTATTTGTGGTATATATTGTATGATAGGGAGTTATTTGTGGTATATATTGTATGATAGGGAGATTATATAAACAAGACTTGTTTTGTGTGCTAGGAAACTGCTTGAGGTATGTGTTGTGTGTACATCTTACTCTGTTTTTGTGTTAGGGAGATCTGCTGTAGTATTAAGTATAAAATAGACTTGTTCTGTATAATAATGGGGTATTTGGGATATTTTGTTTTGCCATAAGGCAGTTTATAATATGTGGCTTTGATTCTTTTGTAAGGAAATATTTGAGGTAATTGTTGTACTGTAAGAAGATAAATGAGGCTTGTTTTATTTTGAGGGAGATATTTGATGTAGTTAATGTATAAGGACATTACTATATGGATATATTTGTGTGTAAGGAGACATTTGAGACTTGTTTTATTTTGTAGGGAGATATTTCAGGTGCTGGACCTGATGAAGATGGATATGGCTAACTTTACAATCCAACAGATAAGACCATACTTACAACAACAGTCAGTGGAGTATGAACGTACTAAGTTCCAGCAGTTCATCAAAACACAGCAGGGTAAACATACTGTTGTTGGTCATGTCCTCTTTGATGTTAATGTTGATATTTTATCTCTACTTCTGACTAGTTGTTCAATTATAAACTAACTGATATTGTATTTAGTTCTACTTTTACAAATATTAGTGTCATTACATCCAAGCCTCAATAAGAATATTTCATACCTTGCTAACAATGGTATCTGTCATTTAAGAAAAATGAAAGTGATATATAAACCAAATTTTGCATGGTTAATATCTATTTCTACCATAGCCCCTCAACACAACCAAGATTACAAAGGACTGTAGCATGATCCTTAAGCTTGCATCCTGTATAATGCAGCTCTCTAAATCTGGTTTTCTATATCAAATTTTAAGATATAATAACTGGAATAAGATAGGATAAACATCAGTCACTTGTTCTGGAACCTGTTTTTAATCTATATCAGACTAGTTTAGTTTGGTTTTATAGGTGTAAACATGCCATTAACAGCCAAGGTCATCTAAAGACATGTATATTAGACTGATGTTATTGAGCTGATCACATTGAATTAACACGTCAATGATTTCAGATAATAGGATATTGTTTGTGTTTTAGATGCTGGAATAGACGGTCTTGAGTTGACCAAACTATGGCTCAAGGGGTGTTTTGATGAACTGACCGATGAGGCAAACACTGACCAACAAGCCGGTGCTACTCCAAGTCTGACTCCAGCATCTGTACTGAATGAGGCTTACATGGAGCTGTTAAACTGGGACAGGCAGAAACTGTATCCAGAGGTGAGGCTTATAGCTGAGTGAGGGAAGGGAGCTCCAGTGGTGAGTAATAGATGGTAGGGCAGGGGCATTCTACACAGAGGTGAGACTTATAGATGTATGGAGAGGGGTATTCTACACAGAGGTGAGACTTATAGATGTATGGGGAGGGGCATTCTACACAGAGGTGAGACTTATAGATGTATGGAGAGGGGATTCTACAGAGGTGAGACTTATAGATGGTGGGGGAGGGGCATTCTACACAGAGGTGAGACTTATAGATGATGGGGGAGGGGCATTCTACACAGAGGTGAGACTTATAGATGGTAGGGCAGGGGCATTCTACATAGAGGTGAGGCTAATAGATGGTGGGGGAGGGGCATTATACACAGAGGTGAGACTTATAGATGGTGGGGGAGGGGCATGCTACACAGAGGTGAGACTTATAGATGTATGGAGAGGGGATTCTACAGAGGTGAGACTTATAGATGGTGGGGGAGGGGCATTCTACACAGAGGGGAGACTTATAGATGGTAGGGCAGGGGCATTCTACATAGAGGTGAGACTAATAGATGTATGGAGAGGGGTATTCTACAGAGGTGAGACTTATAGATGGGGGGGGAGGGGCATTCTACACAGAGGTGAGACTTATAGATGATGGGGGAGGGGCATTCTACACAGAGGTGAGACTTATAGATGATGGGGGAGGGGCATTCTACACAGAGGTGAGACTTATTGATGTATGGAGAGGGGTATTCTACAGAGGTGAGACTTATAGATGGGGGGGGAGGGGCATTCTACACAGAGGTGAGACTTATTGATGTATGGAGAGGGGTATTCTACAGAGGTGAGACTTATAGATGGTGGGGGAGGGGCATTATACACAGAGGTGAGACTTATAGATGGTGGGGGAGGGGCATTATACACAGAGGTGAGACTTATAGATGGTGGGGGAGGGGCATTCTACACAGAGGTGAGACTTATAGATGGTAGGGCAGGGGCATTCTACATAGAGGTGAGACTAATAGATGGTGGGGGAGGGGCATTATACACAGAGGTGAGACTTATAGATGTACGGAGAGGGGTATTCTACAGAGGTGACACTTATAGATGTACGGATAGGGGTATTCTTCACAGAGGTGAGACTTATAGATGGCGACAGGCATTCTACACAGAGGTGATACTTACATATAGTGGGGGAGGGGCATTCAACACATAGGTGAGAATTATAGATGGTGGGGGCGGGGTATTCTACACAGAGTTGATACTTATAGATGGTTGGGGAGGGGCATTATACACAGAGGTGATAATTATAGATGATGGGGAGTGGTATTCTACACAGAGGTGAGACTTATAGATGGTGGGGGCGGTGTATTTTACACAGAGTTGATACTTATAGATGGTTTGGGAGGGGTATTCTACAACGAGGTGAGACTTATAGATGGTGGGGGAGGGGCATTCTACACAGAGGGGAGACTTATAGATGGGGGGGGACAGGCATTCTACACAGAGGTGATACATACAGATGGTGGGGGCGGGGTATTCTACACAGAGTTGATCCTTACAGATGGTTGGGGAGGGGCATTCTACACAGAGGTAAGACTTATAGATGGTAGGGCAGGGGCATTCTACACAGAGGTGATACGTACAGATGGTGGGGGCGGGGCATTCTACACAGAGTTGATACTTACAGATGGTTGGGGAGGGGCATTCTACACAGAGGTGCGAATTATAGATGGTGGGGGAGGGGCATTATACACAGAGGTGAGACTTATAGATGGTGGGGGACAGGCATTCTACACAGAGGTGATACTTACAGATGGTGGGGGCGGGGTATTCTACACAGAGTTGATACTTACAGATGGTTGGGGAGGGGCATTCTACACAGAGGTGAGAATTATAGATGGTGGGGGAGGGGCATTATACACAGAGACGAGACTTATAGATGGTGGGGGAGGGGCATTCAACACAGAGGTGATACTTACAGAAAGTGGGAGAGGGACATTCTACACAGAGGTGATACTTACAGAAAGTTGGGGAGGGGCATTCAACACAGAGGTGAGAATTATAGATGGTTGGGTGGGGTATTCTACACAGAGGTGAGACTTATAGATGGTTGGGGAGGGGCATTCTACACAGAGGTGAGACTTATAGATGGTGGGGGACAGGCATTCAACACAGAGGTGATACTTACAGAAAGTGGGGGAGGGGCATTCAACACAGAGGTGATACTTACAGAAAGTGGGGGAGGGGCATTCAACACAGAGGTGATACTTACAGAAAGTGGGGGAGGGGCATTCAACACAGAGGTGATACTTACAGAAAGTGGGGGAGGGGCATTCAACACAGAGGTGATACTTACAGAAAGTGGGGGAGGGGCATTCAACACAGAGGTGATACTTACAGAAAGTGGGGGAGGGGCATTCAACACAGAGGTGATACTTACAGAAAGTGGGGGAGGGGCATTCAACACAGAGGTGATACTTACAGAAAGTGGGGGAGGGGCATTCAACACAGAGGTGATACTTACAGAAAGTGGGGGAGGTGCATTCAACACAGAGGTGAGAATTATAGATGGTGGGGGCGGGGTACTCTACACAGAGGTGATATTTATAGATGATGAGGGAGGGGTATTCTACAAAGAGGTGAGACTTATAGATGGTGGGGAAGGGGCATTCTACACAGAGTTGATATTTGTAGATGGTGGGGGAGGGGCATTATTCACGGAGACGAGACTTATAGATGGTGGGGGAGGGGCAATCTGCACAGGAGTGAGACTTATAGATAATGAGGAGGGGCTTTCTACACAGAGGTGGGACTTACAGATTGAGGGGGAGGGGTTTCTACATATAGGTGAGGATTTACTTTGTAAATAGCTTTGTAGTTCTTCCATCATACAGATAATGGATAATGTTATAAACAGTTGAAAGTGAAGTTATTAGACTTTGTGTGGTTGATATCAGGCCTTCTATAAACTATAAAGACACAGGGTTGTTATCTTTATAATATCATTTACAGTACATACCAGGTAGTACATCTCACAATTTCTCAGTTGTGAAAACTGATAATGTTATGTTTTTGTTGCAGACACTTGTGATGGACCAGAGTCGGTTTACTGACCTCCAGGACAAGACGAGTCGGCTAACCCTAGTGGCCTCAATACTGCTTGTGACCTATAATACTGTGGGCGCAGCTATCGCAGGTGTACAGACCTTTAAGGAGAAACTCAAGTCTGAGATCTGTGTGATACTGGACGGTGTGGCAGACAGGTGAGTTTTACAAATGAACTAAACTCTCATTACACTAACCTTTGATTTTCTTAGCCTACCAAGAATTGGATCTATGATGGAATATCATCCTGTCTGTCTATTGACAAGCTTGTCTAGCTGATCGTTTGCTTTGTTTACGTTACATCAGTCATATCTGTCTCTTGATTTTGGGTTGTTGTTTATAGGTTGGAAAGTAAGATAAACAACGTAGCTGTAGAGGAGAAAATATAATTTAAGATATATGAATTTGTGCCAGTAACTGTAGCTATGCACACAATTTTTCATGACTTAACCCTTTTGACTGTTAAACATTCCAGTGACCTGAGTGAAAAGATGACCAATGTAGCCGAGCAAATCAACAAGTCAGTGCGAGAGTACATGCCAGAACATGGCTTTAAGGAATGGGGGACTGACCAGCAGACACTGATGACCGGTCAGATTAAACAAGTGTGTAGCCAAGAACACCCAGTCTACAAACTAGTGGGTAAGTGTAGCCTACCATCTACTGACTGTACACTGGTATTTATTTCTACAGCTGTTAGTCTCTAACCACTGATCAGAGCGAGCCTACTGGTTCGGTGATAATTTTGTCTGTCTGTATAATTTCATGCGTATGTCATATCTCTTGCAAATCTGAAAATATCTTGATGAAACTTTGTAAAACTTTCCCTTTGATGCAATGCCATATCCTACACATTGTGTTTTTAACAAGGAATGTGAAACTTCTAATATTACATCCTCATGTATATCTTGTACATTCATATGATTTTGTAGAAATATAATTATATTAAATATTTTTTTCATTTTATATCTCAAGAGAATTAACTACCCTTCACCACCCCTTCTCAAGCAAAAACAAAAAACAAAAAATTGTATGAAAATTTTCCAAAAGTTATGTTTTTATAATTCCAGCTAAGAGGTTAAAAGAATTTATCAAACAGATCATTTCCAAGAAGCACACACAACCATTACAGATGCCTGTGGGGTTCTCTGTGGTGGAAGCAGAGCTGGGCCAGGTATGTGGTCAGTTCTTGCGTCTTATCTCCCACAACCGGTCAGTGTTCTTTGCGTATTACTCGGACATCATAAACACTCTGCTACAGTGGAAGACGGAGGATTTGTCTCCTCGGGGGTGAAGTGTCATTCTGGATCACAGACTTTTGACGTTAGGGGATAGTTATTGTATCCTCAAGGGTTGCGATGCGAACTCCTGATCCCGAGAGAAATTCTGTCTCGTAATAATCCTAGTGAGAAAGGCCATGTCTCATATGGGGTTAAATTGCAAAATTCTGATTCTGGAAGACAGTATATTTTTGTGTGCCTGGCCTGGTTTCTCTGCTGTGGATATGACCACAGATAAAATATTTGTGATTCAAGAGAACCTAGAAACGTGGAACTACAGACTCCTGATCAGGACGTCATTACCTAGAAACGTGGAACTACAGATTCCTGATCAGGACGTCATTACCTAGAAATGTCGAACTACAGACTCCTGATCAGGACTTCATTACCTAGAAACGTGGAACTACAGACTTCTGATCAGGACGTCATTACCTAGAAACGTGGAACTACAGACTCCTGATCAGGACGTCATTACCTAGAAATGTCGAACTACAGACTCCTGATCAGGACGTCATTACCTAGAAATGTTGAAGTGGACTAACATACTGCTGATTCTTATTGAATCAATGAGGGGTACAGCCACAGGATACATATTCATTACTCATCACCCCTATGTTGCACCAATCACTACATTACTAGGGGATGCATAGAGTGAAAATTTGATTGAAGTGTAACATTTTAATATTGTGAATGAATGAAATATCTCGTAATCTGTGATTAAGCCAGCAGACAACTTGTACTTTTTGTGCAAGATTACATTAGAACAACTGCCAAATTTCCTCTGTATTGTAGAAATCTTATGATACAAAAATACATGTAGCTTATTCCTAAAACAGGGACTGGCGCTTTTTGTTAGGTTAACTTGATCAATGTTTCCTATTGAAATATTACAAAAATATTGTGAATTAATGTCAAAACCTATGTACCAGTACTGTTTGTGATAGTATAGCTGGTAAGAATGTTCTCCTATAGAGGGGTTAGTGGTATTATAAGGCACTATTATAAGGAATTTCTGTATACTCCTGGTTGCTACTGTAACTGTGTATACAAATCACCTCTATATTACTCATTCACAAACTGATCTCAACCATATAACCTGGACTTCAGTTTCATTCCAGTAGTTTATAGTGGTATTTAGTACATCTGATGGATTGTATGGCCATCGGACACTATTTCAGTCACAATTTGGTCATGATGAATAATTATGATATGTTTGAATTAATATATACGATGAGTAATTTGTTCTCTTTGTTTCTGCTTAAAAAGAGTCATCTTGTTGCATGTAAAACATACTGTAGTGTTTCGTCCAACTGATTGTCACTTTGACAATGTTTAAACATAGTTGGTATTACAACATTGAAAATATGCTTCCTAATAAGTATGGCTAAATTTATTTTATATTATTTAACAGGGTAGATATTACAAAATTGACAAGGCCCCACCTCTGTATCAGAATGAACTGAAAATGTGACAAAATGTAGCAGAATGAATTTGGGGTTGAAGAGTTTCACATGTTATATTGGAAAACGTTTTGTTTCAAAATAGACACTGTCTGATAATTTTTAGTTCAAGCCATATTGCCTTTCCATATATTGTACAATATTTGTGTATTTACTAGGTAATGTCCCTATTGACATGGATATCCCCAGGAGTTAGCTCCCTTACATGTGACTTGCCTACATACTGAAAGAGCAGATATACAATGGAACATTCATATCTTGTGCTCACCACCAAAGTAAAGCCATTTAAAAATGAATTTGCACTCACCAATTAATGTTTCTTGTATATATATATCAGTCCTTTATATAATAACTACAATATTTTTACATCAGTTTATTGCAGGATCAAGGATAACTCTACAATTTTGGTAGCAAGTATAGTATATACATGTAGTATAACAGTACATTGCATATTACCTATTGGTTCTCTGAGTTCTTTGTATTTTACATAATACCTCTAAAGGTCTTCATTTCATGCATAGTAATCAAATTGCCAAGAAAAACATGTTGCTTATGTACGTTATTAGTAATTGTTACAAAGTTGATGAATGTATTTTTTCAGAAGGTATTTTCAATTTATTTTAATAAATCAATTTTGTACCTTAATAAAGGAAAAAAGTGTGATTATTATTTCAGTGGATATTATATACATTATGAAAGTATTAATGTATCGTTGAGGATATATATGTAACAAAACCTTGTACATTTTAGAATATTAATATTCCAGATTATCATTTAGTGGACCTCACATTATTTAATGGTAGCTATTCTTAAGAGTATTTTACAAAATAAGCCGACATGTACAGAAATGATATATCTAGCTGGGCATTACATTCTTTCAATTAATTTATTATGAAGAATTAGAGTTATAAAATATGTACAGTGACCACTGTGGCAATCAACTGTCTGTAATGATCTTCCTGTAGCAATCACCTGTCTGTAACAATCTTCCTGTAGCAATCACCTGTCTGTAACGATCTTCCTGTAGCAATCACCTGTCTGTAATGATCTTCCTGTAGCAATCACATGTCTGTAATGATCTTCCTGTAGCAATCACCTGTCTGTAACGATCTTCCTGTAGCAATCACCTGTCTGTAACGATCTTCCTGTAGTGACAGGATTCCATCGAATGGAGAGCCCACCTTACCATGATGCGAGGAACCGCCAGAGGAGGAACAAACTTTGTGCTTGATAGTTGTTTTAAAGGAGGTACGGAAGGATAGCTCTATGTTCAGTCAAAAACCACTAGACCTCACAGACATTTCATATCTCTGTCCCTCAAGATGGGACAATAACTGTCTGAATCTGCCGACCAAAAACTGTTATCTTTGTTAAAAAAAGAACAGGAAGGAAGAGAAAAGACTCTTGCTTTTAATATGTCCCCAGTAGAAGTATTGTGTACATATAAACTATTTTCAAGACATCTTTATTATTATTTCTCTAAAGAATTTCTATGGTAGGTCAGTCTTTATATAATGAGTACTGCCAAAAGCCTTTTTATGAAGCCAACAATCTGCTTAACAAACAGTGGTAGTAAAACACAATTTTGAACTTCTACTTTCTAATAAGAGTACATTTAATGTTACATTTGTAAATCAAATCTAACTTTTTAAGTAATTGATTGGTATATATATTACAAGCGTTCTGTGTTTTAATCTATTAGATATATATGAGCAATGAGACATACAATGTATGTGGTAGTGATATTTGATGTAAGCCTGGTTTATTGAAATAATGAATTGTTTATGATTGTGATACTTGGTGTTATATTAATGTTGTACTCTTATTTGTACCTGTGCTGTACATTGATGCCAAACTGTGACCTACATGTAGTTACTCCATATTCCTGCTTTAAGATTTTAATGCTGTAGAGCTGGAGAAGTAGATCATCCAGAGGTTACATGTCCAATTATGAAGCTGAAGCGGCCATTACTCTAGAGACAAAATTCAAGGAAGATTTAAATTTATGAATGAGTCTCCTCGTGAATTTATGCGAAAATTAATCTCCGACATATACAGAAATGATTTATCTAGCTGGGCATTACATTCTTTCAATTAATTTATTATGAAGAATTAGAGTTATAAAATATGTACAGTGACCACTGTGGCAATCACCTGTCTGTAATGATCTTCCTGTAGCAATCACCTGTCTGTAATGATCTTCCTGTAGCAATCACCTGTCTGTAACGATCTTCCTGTAGCAATCACCTGTCTGTAACGATCTTCCTGTAGTGACAGGATTCCATCGAATGGAGAGCCCACCTTACCATGATGCGAGGAACCGCCAGAGGAGGAACAAACTTTGTGCTTGATAGTTTTTTTAACGGAGGTACGGAAGGATAGCTCTATGTTCAGTCAAAAACCACTAGACCTCACAGACATTTCATATCTCTGTCCCTCAAGATGGGACAATAACTGTCTGAATCTGCCAACCAAAAACTGTCATCTTTGTTAAAAAAAGAACAGGAAGGAAGAGAAAAGACTCTTGCAATTAATATGTCCCCAGTAGAAGTATTGTGTACATATAAACTATTTTCAAGACATCTTTATTATTATTTCTCTAAAGAATTTCTATGGTAGGTCAGTCTTTATATAATGGGTACTGCCAAAAGCCTTTTTATGAAGCCAACAATCTGCTTAACAAACAGTGGTAGTAAAACACAATTTTGAACTTCTACTTTCTAATAAGAGTACATTTAATGTTACATTTGTAAATCAAATCTAACTTTTTAAGTAATTGATTGGTATATATATTACAAGCGTTCTGTGTTTTAATTTATTAGATATATATGAGCAATGAGACATACATTGTATGTGGTAGTGATATTTGATGTAAGCCTGGTTTATTGAAATAATGAATTGTTTATGATTGTGATACTTGGTGTTATATTAATGTGGTACTCTTATTTGTACCTGTGCTGTACATTGATGCCAAACTGTGACCTACATGTAGTTACTCCATATTCCTGCTTTAAGATTTTAATGCTGTAGAGCTGGAGAAGTAGATCATCCAGAGGTTACATGTCCAATTATGAAGCTGTAGCGGCCATTACTCTAGAGACAAAATTCAAGGAAGATTTAAATTTATGAACGAGTCTCCTCGTGAATTTATGCGAAAATTAATCTCTCACAAAAACCGTGATAACAGTATATCAAAGAAAGCACCACTGATAAGTACAATATACTGTATACGGGGAAACCTTTTCGAGCATGTTTAGTATTAATTGAGGATTTTCTGATAGTTTCCAATGCATTGTAACAGTCACTATTGTTTTCAAACCTTTTTTTTTGTGTGCGTGATTACAAACTTCTAATTTGGAGTATTGTTTTCTTTTTTGAATGTGGTTTTAAGTATCAGTATGATTAAATACAATTTAATAAACATCTACTATACAAGATTTTATGGTGTTAGAGTTTTTTGTATAAACTTTTATACTCCATAATTTAATCAAGACATTAAGTCAAATCAATGTTCAAACTTTGAAGATTATGTACCGAACCAAAAACTAATAATTGAGTTGTGCAGGTCAGTGTTACAGAATTTTGAAAATGTTTAGTTTCAATCGAGGATGTTAGCAGAAGGCAGATACATCACAGTTATTATCAATCACTTACTACACTACATAAAAACAAGTGTCAAATTCATCAATGGTGGAATGGTGGGTTTTAAGCTCACCTGCCCGAAGGGCAGTTGAGCTTATAATGCCATGGCGCGGCCGGCGTCTGTCTGGCGTCCGTCAACTTTCCTTTAAACGTCTTTTTCTGAAGAACCAGAAGGCATAGAGTCATGATATTTGGCTGGTAGCTTCCTGATATGGAGCCCGACAAAGTTTGCGAAAAAAACAGAATTTGACCTACTTTCAAGGTCACAGGGATTAAATATGTAAAAACCTTCAAACAATTTCTTCTAAAATACCGAAAGGTTTAGAGACATGACAATTGGTAGGTAGCTTCCATGGAATAAGCCGAACAAAGTTTGCGAATAAAAATGGCCTTAACCTACTGTCAAGGTCACAGGGGTCAAATGTGTCAAACACTTCAAACAACTTCTTCTGAAGAACTGAAAGGTATAGAATCTTTATATTTGGCAGGTGGCTTCCTGGGATAGAGCCTGACATAGTTTAAAAATGAAAATGACCTTGACTTACTTTCAAGGTCACAGGAGTCAGATATGTCTAATTCTTAAAACGACTTCTGAAGAACTGAAAGTTATAGAATCTAAATATTTGGCTGGTGACTTCCTGGGAAAGAGCGCAACAAAGTTTGAGAATGAAAATGACCGTGACCTACTTTTAAGGTCACATGAGGCAGATATGTCAAACACTTCAAACGACTTCTGCTTAAGAACTGGAAGGTATAGAACCTTAATATTTGGCTTGAAGCTTCCTAGGAAAGAGCCCAACAAAGTTTGAGAATGAAAATGACCTTTACTTACTTTCAAGGTCACAGGAGTCAGATATGTCTAATGCTTAAAACAACTTCTTCTGAAGAACTGGAAGGTATAGAACCTAAATATTTGGCTGGTGACTTCCTTGGAAAGAGCCAAACAAAGTTTGAGAATGAAAATGACCTTGACTTACTTTTAAGGTCACATGAGGCAGATATGTCAAACACTTCAAACGACTTCTTCTTAAGAACTGGAAGGTATAGAACCTTAATATTTGGCTTGAAGCTTCCTAGGAAAGAGCCCAACAAAGTTTGAGAATGAAAATGACCTTGACCTACTTTGAAGGTCACAGGAGTCAGATATGTCTTAACGCTTAGAACTGGAAGGTATAAAATCTTAATATTTGGCTGGTTATTTCCTGGGAAAGAGCCAAACAAAGTTTGCGAATGAAAATGACCTTGACTTACTTTCAAGGTCACATCGTTCAAATATGTCAAACGGTTCAAACTATTTCTGATGAAGAATTAAAAGGCATGAATTTATAACATTTGGCTGGTGACTTCCTGGGATAGAGCTCACCAAAGTTTGCGAATGAAAATGACCTCAACCTGCTTAAGAGGTCGAAGAGGTCACCGAGGTCAACAACATTTTAAAGGATTTGTTCTTAAGAACTAAAAGAAATGGATTCATTAGATTTGGCTAGTAGCTTTTTGGAATAGAGCTAAACAAATTGAGAAGGAAAATGACATTGACCTACTTACAAGGTCACAGGAAAAAATAAGTCAAGCAACTTCTGAAGAAGAATCAAAAAGCATAAAATCTTATAATAATATTTTGCTGGTAGTTTCAACAGATGGAGCCAACAAATTTTGCGAGGGAAATATTTTTAGTGCAATATAATATTTAATGAGAATATTTTGCTATGACTGCTTAAATATTCAGGTGAGCGATACAGGCCCTCTTGGGCCTCTTGTTGTTTACTCATTTCATTAAATGGTTACTAAACCTACTATCTGCCAGAGTGTGACAGTGGTAGATTATATCCATTTAATGGGTGTAAAAAGTACAAAAGCATGCCATATGCATATCATGATAATTTATTGTTTGAGAACCAGAAACATGATGAGACATAACATCCGATATAAACAAATAAATGTGCAATAAATACTAAATATAAATACTATGTGTACAGTGTAACAACTAATGTTATATATATATTCCGTAAAACGTGAAAGACATTGGCAAGATCCTTTCTATATAATGCTGCTCAAAGAGATCTAGGAACATTACAATGAATGCCTAGGTCTGGCAAACTGACTGCTAATACAAAATACCCAATTACCCAAAGATCTCTATCAGTTGTGTCCTATTTCATTTTCCATATGGAATCCCAGGCTTATCTCCATGGCAGTCCTGCTGGCATCAATGGCTTATTTTCAGGTCCTTCCTTTTTTGCATGGAAAAATTGTTTGATGCAGGTTTTTCATGATTTTTTATTCAATTGTTACAAAATCAATATTATGATAGGTGATAAAGAGACCAATACTTCAGTCAATATTACATAGGAAATCAAAGCACAACAACTTTCAGCAATTAATCTATTCAAGAGTATACAAATTATCTAAAATGTATTGTGGATTGCATTTTGACATCTGAAGCTGATAATACATTACCATTTACTTAGAATTAAACATCAGTAAAATCTTGTACGTGTTATTGTATTTTATGTTTGGAAAAGTCGGTATTTGTGACACAAAAACAGCTATGTCATATAATTACATCTTCATTGATGATTGTGATTTATTGAGGTCAAATACATATCCTACTCAACTCGCTTTTAGCTCACCTTGCAACAAGTGTCTCTGAGCTTATGGTATGGTGCAGGGATGGCATGAAATGTTGTGTCAGGTCAAAGGTCAACTTTAATTACTGGCTAGGGTCAAAGGTCAACTTTAATTACTGGCTAGGGTCAAATGTCAACTTTAATTAATCGCTAGGGTCAAAGATCAACATGGGCTATAATGTGCAAAAATGCTTTTGAAATAGTGTTGAGTGACATAAGGCATAATATCAAAGTAGTGGTTACCTTGGATGGACTTGGAGTACCTTGGCATACTCTCACAGTCACCAGGGCCAAATATGTTAATTATACTTCAACAGCTTACTAAAAGATAGGCATTCAAGATCAAACTTCGACATTTTGTTGCTGTGAGTAATATAGCTGTTATGGTGACATAAAAAGAAACAAGCTTGACCAACATGTAACTAAGTGATCATAAAACTTGTTCAGCGGTTATGCTCACCCAGTTTGCAAACAAAGTATGCTTAACTTGCATATAGATAACAGTGTAGGTGAGCACTGCAGGACCTCTGGGCCTTTTGTTTAGTTTGGGTAATATTTGTTGCTTTGTATACCCTAGAAAACATGAAATGGATGCTATTACAAAAGGTCTAAGAGGTGGTAAACTATTGATTTTGTAGTATAGTATTACCAGGTCTGTAACAGCAGTATACAGTATGAAGGCCTGAGTCAGTTATAAACTGCCTACCTGATCATAGCCCTTTTACTACTTCTTCTAACAATCAATTTAGCACTTTCATAATGAAAAAACATGTAGTAATATGTGGCATTAGGTCAAGTGAATCTATTTATTACAGTCAACTTCATATCACCTGATTATCTAACATGCTAACTTAAGGAAACAGGTTACTCTCATGTCAAAACTGCAATTAAGAGTTAACTTTCTTATTTTGTTTTTAAATTTCTATTGGTCTGTATCTGATACAGAATTACAAATACAGTATCCATGGTTGTATCCCGACGTGCCGTTCTAATGGATTGTCCATTAATTCAGACCACATAGCCATTCATAAAAGATATTGTACTGGTTTCTTAGGGTAAATCTTTCGGAAAGGACAATGCATGTCAAATTAGGGTAGCATGTGCTCTTAACTTCAATAGGTAAACTATTGTGTTTTGATAACTGTATCAGTTACCATTTATCTAGCTGATGAACATTTGTTTTTTCTATCATATACTTCATTAATACAAACATTTTGAAAGACAGACTGTAATACTGATGGGATCTCCCTCAATTATAAATCACAAACCTCTTGCCAGATATAGACATTAAACAGAAGAATTAATGATTTAATATATCGTATCTTACAATCATGAAAATAAATATTCACCAAATGTTAGAGAACTTAGAGTATCACAAATATAGTTCAGGGGACACATTTTTACAGGAAGACATATACAGCAAAATTCAACAGAATGAACACAAACTTTTATGAAATATTTCCTTGAAATTTGAAAATACTTTTTAATGAACAGTTACTGTCATAATATGCTTATGTGGAAAACATGGGTTTCTTTCTAAGAAAAAAAATCTTGGATTTTAAAGACAGTCCTCATATATTAAGTCATGTAAATATCACAGATCGCTTTGTATAATACAACATACAGTTTCTCCAATACATGACCAATGCCATCACTCTGCCAACATTATATGTTGTTGTTTAGCATTGAAATACTTCAAAACATGTAACATACATTATTAAATCAGCAAATGGAGTGAGATGATAATGAAATATCAGGCACAACATTTAAAGGAAACTAATCTCCTTTGGGGATAATAAGACTGAGTTATGCATTTTGACATCTCATGATCACCTATCTGCCTAAACATGACTGATAATTTAAGCACAGAAAAGGCTAAGCATGTTTACAATAAACCATTTACAGTATCAGATAAAATCTATAAATGTTCCAAACATTTAGTATTGGAACTAATCCTTCATACAAGGTATTTCATTTGACAGCATGAAGACTGCACCATTCTCCTCATCTAGATGTTCACTGTTGTGTCAGTTGAACGGTCCTGAGAGGAAACTAGACGTATAATCCTGTTTTAAATAGCCTTCTCTATCTGGACAATAAACAGTAAAAATACTTGTCTTATTTATTATGGAACTCTTTAGTTTAGCATTAAGTGACTAGTGATACTTTATACAAAACTGGCTTAAATACATGCACACTCTATGTTCAATGCACCAGAAAATAATAATAAAAAACATTCTCAAAGATAATTGGTTGGTTTTGTCCCTCGTTATGATGAAAATGAAATATCATATTTTCAAGATCGAAGTTGACACCACGTGTATTGTGATGAACTGAATGTCACTGAAAAGAAATCCAGTGTGTACAAAATAAAATGTGAAAATAGAGTTATCTCCCACTAATATGGGTAGAGGGAGCCACATCATCTACTTTCTGTCACTATAACTTCTGGAAGAATTTCTCTGACCCGCAGTATTGTTGTCGGTGCTTCAGTCGTTTCTTTAGATTCTTCAGGATCTCCACTAGTTCTGTGAATATCCTTCCCATCTTTGACCTGAAGTGTCCTGGTCGGCGATTCAGGCGTTTCTTTAGCTCCTTTAGATTTCCCACTAGGTCTTAGAACGTCTTTTCCTCTAGGTGAACTGGATGATTTAACTTCTTTTTCTCTTTGAGAGTTTGCAGGGGTCCCATGAAGAACCTTTATTTTGAGTGGTTTAGATGGAGTTCCAGGAAACTCCTTCCCCTGATTAGAACCTGCAGAAGCTCCGTGAACATCTTTGGAGGGAGATTTTGAGATCAAACTTTCATCATCAACATTCCTTTTCTTTGTGTCTATCTTTTCCTGGTAAGTGAAATCCCATATTCTGATTTTGTCCTTAGCACCTGTCGCTATTCTTAGCTCATCAAAGCGAATGCTCTTTACAGATCCGACATGGCCTTTGAAGGTACGAATACTTGTGTTTCTGTCGTCAAAGAAAAAAATATTCATGTTACTGGTACTCAAAGATTGAAATACAACAGAAATGAATAATTTCCAAAATGAGTCAATATTAATTTTGGGAATTTTCTTGAATATGTGTTCTATTAATATAGATATTGGAAATTGTTCCTATTTATAGATAAATTGTTCCTATTTGTGGACAGATTGCTCCTATATCCTATGTTCCAAATACATATATATATATGTAATGAAAATGATCGAGTTCTTCAAGTGGAAGAAAGAGGTCACAAATTAAACTCTTTCTTCCACCTGAAAAGCCTGCTGGAAGCATAAAATTAACTTGATTCTCCAATTAACAACATATTACCACATAAAGGTCTTACTTCTGTACATCCCAATATTTGACCATCCCGTCTTGACCAGCACTGATTATGGTACCGGTCACTTCCTTTGTGTCCTTCATCTGCAGCTCAAGTGTCTCTATCCTGAAATCAGACCATGAAATTGAGATAATTTGAGAAACTGTCCAAATAATATATGGAATAGTAGACCAAACAGGGTAATATCACTTTATCAGATGATAAGCTATGGAATAGTAGACCAAACAGGGTAATATTCTTTATCAGATGTTAAGCTATGGAATAGTAGACCAAACAGGGGAATGTTCTTTATCAGATGATAACCTATGGAATAGTAGAACAAACAGGGTAAGACTCTTTATCAGATGATAAGCTATGGAATAGAACACCAAACGGGGTAATGTTCTTTATCAGATGATAACCTATGGAATAGTAGAACAAACAGGGTAAGACTCTTTATCAGATGATAAGCTATGGAATAGTAGGCCAAACAGGGTAATATTCTTTATCAGATGATAACCTATGGAATAGTAGACCAAACAGGGTAATATTCTTTATCAGATCATAACCTATGGAATAGTAGACCAAACGGGGTAATGTTCTTTATCAGATGATACCCTATGGAATAGTAGACCAAACAGGGTAATGTTCTTTATTAGATGATAAGCTATGGAATAGTAGACCAAACAGGGTAATCTTCTTTATCAGATGATAAGCTATGGAAGAGTAGACCAAACAGGGTAATATTCTTTATCAGATCATAACCTATGGAATAGTAGACCAGACGGGGTAATGTTCTTTATCAGATGATAACCTATGGAATAGTAGAACAAACAGGGTAAGACTCTTTATCAGATGATAAGCTATGGAATAGAAGACCAAACAGGGTAATATTCTTTATCAGATGATAACCTATGGAATAGTAGACCAAACAGGGTAATGTTCTTTATCAGATCATATGCTATCTGATCTGGCAATCATATAAATATAAGATTGAATATTGCCACTTTTACCAAAACCTGTCCTGCAGCAATGTTGTCGGGAAATGGAGTCCAAGAAATGCATCTTGACATTTCAGTTCATGTACACCAGAACCAGACCTCACCAACACCTTACTAAAGTTTACGCATTGCGAGACCTGACCTAATCGAGACACTTTAAATACTTTAATGACATCCTATTTTACCAGTTAAGGTTGAATTGGCCTGTAACGACAGGTTTCTTTGTGATAAATCCTGACTTTTGTCAAAAATATTACATATTATATACACTGTATATATCTGACCTAATGATCCACGCAGTCCTTTCTGGAGGTTTACAGACATCTATATGATTGCCAATTGAATCAGTGTAATTCTCGTCTGATGTTGATAACATTCAGATTCCACTATATACATGATGAACCAATTTTTATTTTGAATTATTTTTACATCAAGCTAACAGTATTTCAGCCTACCAGGTATGCCTTGTATATGACCTAAAACTCTATATTCCCCTCACTGGTTCGCTCACAAACCTTTTTTCGTGCTCCTCATAGGTCTTAATTAGTTTTGGCCGCTCAAGTCTGTATAGACATATTGTCTCTCCGTAACTGCAGGCCACGTAACCCTTACTGTAGCTGACCGCCATGATGGAGGTACTCTGGCTCACCCAGATCAACTTTTTCTGTACACCTGTTGCTGTGTCCCAGATACGCAGCGTCTGAATGGTGGACAAAAGGGTAATTACATGTCATTTGATAGCTAGAATGGAAATGACTGATGAATTTGGGGCAAAGTTTCTCAATATCTTGAAAACTAATTATCAAATGTTCTTCCAAAACATCCAGTTAATGTAAGGAGCTTATCCTATGGAACTTACAGACCTATAAATTATTTCTTGTTTTGATATATGTCAATTTTTTTAATCTGTAAATTTGTGTTTTATAATGTAATGATGCATTTCAAAGTTATTGTAAGTGAAATCTGTGAAGCCAAACTTTTAGTTTTAATATTATATGTCGGAGTAATAACACTTACCCGGTCAGCCGAGCCTGTTATGGTGAGTGTGCCATCTTCACTCAAGTCGACAGCAAACACCGCCTCAGTGTGGCCATACAGGTTGTGTATTAGGTAACATCGGGATATGTTCCAGATCTTGGCCTGTACACAAAACATTTATTGAGATACAATTAACTATCTAACATGCAAACAGCTAAAATTTTAGCATTAGAAACTGATATTATCCCTCCCATCATCCGTACATTTATTTCACCTTAGTTTGCACTTGACTTAAATGAAGCTACCAAAATGTTACTGACTAATCAATCACATTGAATGCAATCAGGATGCGACATTAAATTCTGATGTTATAACTGTCGTAATTAATGGCTAAAATCAGTTAAATGATTGAATTAAGCTAAACTAAGAGTATACATAAACCTTCAAACAGAAAGTACAATTTAACCACTGATGGCTCATTATCTTCCTTGAATCACCATTTTGGTGACAGCATTATCTCCCTTGAATCACCAGTTTGGTTGTATAATTATGTAACATAATGGCATGTTTGTTAACTTACAGTTTTGTCCTGAGAGGCAGTCACTAGGATATTGTTGTGTCGGACCATTGCCCACACTGGACCGTCATGGGCAAGCATCGTTCGGACAGTACTCCCTGTCCGAAGGTTCCATACCTGTTATCAACAAGTAACATACGATATAACAACAGGTAATATATAAATTAAGAAACACATGTAGGTTAAAAACAAATTAATACAGATATATAAAAAGGACCTTTTACAATAATATCCATTCAAATTATATTATAATCAATCATGGTTTCAAATGGTAAATTACACAAACAGTGTGGTAGCTGATATATTTGTTCAAATGTGATTAGGAAATATAAATGAAAGAAACAAAGGCATTCTTGAGCCAAAAGACAAATAGTAGAGACTCTCCAGAGTAAAGACTTGTAACTTTGACAAAATATATCTGTAGTACATTGATCGCTATTGAAAAATGTCATATTTTTCCTGGTTTTAAAAAAAGCTTATTTTTCTTTTCAAAAAATGAAAACATCTTGTAAAAGATTATATTTAGATTATTTTATAAGGTTTGACAGGTATCTTATAGTTGTTAACAATAGGTCAGTACCTTGATGGTCCCATCATAAGACCCGCTGACCAGTAGGGTCTCTGTGAAGAAGTTAAGGCACCATACTCCCTTTTCGTGGCCCTTAAGGACCTGAAGGGGACGTCCAGTCTTGATGTCCCAGATCCGGATGGTCTTGTCCTGACTACCACTTGCAAATAACCGATGGTTGAAGGTCACCGCCTCCACTCTGAAACAAAATCTTAAAAATTAATGTCATCTCATCCATCCGACAATAACCATGGAGGTCAACCTCAACACGTCCTCAATGATGTCTACGCCATAACAACCTCAACACGTCCTCAATGATGTCTACGCCATAACAAAGTCTGAAGCGTTAGCTGAAGGTCAAAATCTATATCCTACACTAGATCCATTCCAAAAAAGATCCCAAAGATAACAGAAGGACACATAGTAGAGCATTCTGCTGACTAATTGAGGGTGCAATATTCACATTTACTGAAGGAAATACAAATGATGCGTTTATTTCAGGAGCAAGTTGTAAAGGAGTTTGTAGATAAAGGTCAGATTTATGAGTCATGTCTATACTAAAACCTTAAAAGTTAAAGGTCACTGTCTGTATACTGTCAAAACAACATTTCAGATTCAAGGTCACCACAGTACTAATGACAAAATCTCGATATCTATTGACCCTAAAATATACTTCAGTTGATGCAAAATAATATAAATGACTTTTCTGTGGATCAAAAGCTTAAACTTCAAGATCACAAAAATAAAGCTAGGTGATAAAAACTGAAGATAATTTGGTATGCTGTTCTAATGACAACCTTCACTAGACATTTATCACTGCGTTAACATTGTGTGCATGCTACAGTGTACCTGATGAAGCTGAAGTAACTACAGGTCAGTGTGAAGCTTACATGTCAGAATGTCCCTTCAGGTCAAGTGTACGACAGTTGCCACTGTTCCAGTTCATCTTGAGATGCATGTTGTCCCTATAGATGTGTTTCCAGCATGGGTTCGTAGGGATAGGCACCAGGAGTTGGACCTCCTCACACTTCCATCCCCATAGCTTATTAGAGTTAGCCAGGGCATACCATGCCTTACTCACCTGTAAAACAGAAATACAGATAACACTACAACAATGACCGGTCATCAAGGGCCCGCCATATGCCTTACTGTACCCCTGGATATATTTTTAGTAACAGTCGTGACCATTTAAAAAAAAAAAAAAAACTATTACAGATCTACATATCCAAGTGTGTCATCATGTCAAACTTCAAAAATATTATACTTTTGATTTCTGAGATGAAGACTTTGCCCCACTGTCCAATTTTAGTAACAATGACCTTGACCTTGACTTAAGAAATTTGCTCTTATAAACTCCAATTGCACATCAGTGACTACCATATCATTTTGAGGAAGACAAGTGTTTTGGATTCCGACATAATCTCTGGAAACACAAGTGTTGACAGACAGACAGACACCAGGTTACTATGGGGCAACCACATCTCTGATGCAGGGCCCTAATAACGAGGTAGCTAGGCCAAACAATACCTTACTCACATGTAAAACAAATAACATATAGGTAACAAGTTACAAATTACATTACCTTAACCTTTTTATGATCATACATAATTAACTACGCAACCTGAAAGTGATCTTTCCCACTGACTGATATGGATCAATCCAAAACATGAGAATTCATTTAAAATGACCGTGCCCATTCAGATAACTGGGTTGAAAAGGGTTAAGTAACCTGATTTCTATATTCTCTGGATTAATTAACTGACCTAGTGACCAAGACATGTAACATAAAACGTAGTTATGTACACCAGTAGATCTAGTGTAAACACTTACTAAGCACTGACCAAAACAACACTAACGCATCATTTACATCTCTTGGAGTTTCCATTCGTCTGAATGGTTTGCTTCTGATTTTTAGTCAATTGTATTTTTATATGGCAGTCTTTGTCAATGTTTCTGTAATTATCAGGATATTGTCTCCAAGCTCATGTCTCCGTGTACCAAACTGCCTCCATCTTTCTTTATTTTGTGTAAAAATTATGAGCTCACAACAAATTTGTCTACACTGACTGTACCTAGAGGAAATACTGTAAACTTAGAATGGTAAACTACCTTTGTGTATTTATAGAGGAAACAGTGTAAACTTAGAATGGTAAACTTCCTTTGTGTATTTATAGAGGAAACAGTGTAAACTTAGAATGGTAAACTTCCTTTGTGTATTTATAGAGGAAATACTGTAAACTTAGAATGGTAAACTACCTTTGTGTATTTACTGCTGACATCAGAATTAAGTGAACTTTCCAGTATTAAAAGAAATGCCATCAATGGAAATACAACAAATGACAGTCAATAAAAGCATTAATCTAGATAATTACCCCATATATCAAGGTATGTCATGGCCTTACAGGGAAAGAATATTAAGCATTCCAATCCTATCAGCTAACTTCCTCACCCCCTGTACAATGTAACCCTACTTTGTCACCCACTTTTACAGTTCAACCATCACACAGGTGTAAATTTTCAGACTGCAGCACAATATGTCTGGATCAGAATCGCTGAAAATTGCTCAAACACAGCTATGTTGACTTAAGGATTATTTAAATAACCTAGATTATTTATCAATTGGTTAGTATTTAATTGTTACAAATTTCATGAATGAAAACTGCTTGTCACAGAGTAAATGAATAACTCACCAAACTGCACTTGAGTATTTTTTCAGGTGTCATGTAGTCCAATATCTTCAGTGATATATGCTCTGGGAGCATAGTAAGGAAATCCCGATACTGTCGCATCTGGAGGATAAAATGTACGGTCAATATTCATGTCTTTTAAGAGATCACGTTAACTGCTTAATAAACAATCACCTGGATTTCGTTTGAGTATGTGTTCCGCAATGAACAGATTATGGTAGCATTTTGTTCGTGTTCCTCAAAGGGAAGAATTGACAGTAGGATTGAATATGTGTTACTAAATGAAAAGATGATGGTAAGGTTATGTATGTGTTCCCAAATGGAAGGATGATGGTAGCATTTTGCATATGTTTTCCAATAACAAAATAACAGTGGTGCTTTGTATGTGTTCCCCAATGGAGAGATGACAGTAGGGTCTTGTGTCTTACACATTTATGAACTTCTGAAGACAAACAAAAATAGCAAAATTCCAAAAACTGGATGCATGTCTAAAATGTGATTATCTCACTTCATTATCAGACTCAGATTTCTTGGATAGATCAGTTGTATGTTTGGTATTGGCATATCAATGCTTATTCTGTGTATATCTAAAACACTACTTATCTCAAAGATTTGTTCACGTTCTCAAAGTCTTCAACAAATGTTTGTTGAAGGATTTATGGGACTATAACACTCACCTGTTATTTATAATCTACAACCTGTGAATTCAGATATACCCTAATGTTGATGTGTGTTATTACATATTATAAACCACAGCACTGTCAAACAAATAAAGCTCCAGAAAGAAGGATGCAAGATTACCAAAAAAAGGAGATGACATCATCTTGACATTCAATTACAGTCCTACCATTTATTATAAAGTTTAAACGCCTATGAAGCTGACATGCAGTATATTACCAATGAAATATAACAGACATGTTGGAACCTATTCCTATAAACTTTATGTACTAGTTAAAAAAAAAAAATCAATATAAAGTTCTTTTTTTATACGGACATCTTCTTTTAAGAACCAAAAAATATAACATTCAAAATATCTTCATTCCATCTTACAGCAAAGATAATGAAACTGCTCAGTTTTATAACAATTACATATATGACACACACATCTGCTTTATCTAATTCTGTGAACAAAAAGTTTTTATTAAACATTTTTGATCAACAATCTTTAAAAAAAGATATAAAAATAACATAACAATACCTGTCACTACAATATACTTATCCGAATTCAATAAGAATACATATAAATGTATTCCACAGGGCATGTTCATTCTATTTTATGACTATCAAACAAACTTTAGTTCAAAATATTCATTATTCCTCCTTTCATATCAGTGAATATGTAATGAACAACTAATTTTAAAATCATAAATTAGAGGAAAAAGCATGAAAGTAATACACACAAGTGGTTTTTTATACAAGAACTGAAATTTCAATTTAATGCCTATTTAATTCAGCCTATCGTTGGGTGTTCACATGCACTTGAATACTATTTGTGCTGCATTAGGCCGGTGCCTGTGAAGGTAGCCAGGCATTAAGATAAGCCTGTTGACTTACCGATAAAAAGCTGGATATAAAATAGTGTTGTCGGGGATCAAGCTTGAGGAGAAATTTGTGAAGAAATTCATTCCTCCTTACATCTGTAAATACAAACAAAGCAAATTGGGAAATGAATGCAGGTGTCAAGATCTAGCAGGATGGTTTCAATCGATACTTTATCACCGAGCAAACTTTTAACTGATATGCTAGCCTGTTCAATTGGTCAAGCCTACAATATTACCTTGACATCTACTTCAGTAAGATATGTTACTAAAATACAAATGTCTGGAATTAGCTGTACAGATGTATAATTATGGTAGAAATCTTGTTTCTGTACAAACGTCAAACTTTGCTATAATCTTAAAGTTGTTTTAACAAAAGTACAGAATCCTGTTCCATGTACACCTCGTACTCACAGAACTTAGAAAACTAGACTGAGGGAAACAAATAGTTTGGTGCCTGTCTGGATTTCAGAGAGTTGGAGGTTTGTAAGTTTCCTTGTAAGGTCAATAGCATGTACGTTCTCTCCAGGTAAAACACAAACCTACCTGTAGAATGGTGTAATGTGTTGTCTGTGTACGAAATGACTGTTTTACTGTAAAACAAGGAGAGTTAAGCAGCTTTCACATAAAAAATCTATAATGATCTCACAGACAGATCCGTGATGTCTAAAAGGTGCAGGGGCCCAATGTACAGACTTCTCTACTCCATCACACTTCGATTCCTTTATCTTCAGTCTGAAAGATGAAGGGTGGGGTTCGTGGGCCTCCGTTTATACCCATGAAAAGTTGGGAGCCAAAGCTGGGTCATTGAGTGGGGAGGACTCAACACTTGATACTTTTCTTTAAACATAAAAGTTTTCTTTCACACATAAAAGTTAGAATGAATCCTCACCTGACCACTCATCCAAGTACCAGTGGATAACAGACCACGCCTCCTCGTCCAGCAAATTCTTCTGTAACCAATCAGGACACATGTAGATAATTACAGAGTATTTGTAAAGTAAAAAATCAACATCTTTATATACTTGTTGAGAGAAAAAAGAAGATCTTTGACACAAAACTATCAATATAGGAATCTGAATGTTCTGGATGATAAATCATTCTAATGACCTACCGTTTTCTTTTTCTGAGGCTGATTTTGATCATCATAAATGAAGCTGACAGAGGATTCTAGGGTGTAACGGGTAGATACAGGCAGGGAGCTAAGGGATGACCCCAGGTAGCGCATGTTTCCCTCATCCTGAATGTGACGACGGATCGGCATGTCAATGAACCTGTAATAAGCGTGTATGCTTACAATGTGTTTCAAACAGCATAGACAATTGTTCTTTATTAAAGTGTGAAGGATATAAATGATTAATTGGGATTTTACGACAGCATGATGTATCCAGTCCCATAATTCTGACAACAGGCTAACCAGGGGATACAGCATGACGTATCCAGTCACATAATTCTAACAACAGGCTAACCAGGGGGTACAGCATGACCTATCCAGTCCCATAACTCTGACAACATGCTAACCAGTGGGTACAGCATGATGTATCCAGTCCCATAACTCTGACAGGCTAACCAGGGGGGACAGCATGACGTATCCAGTCCCATAGTTCTGACAACAGGCTAACCAGGGGGTTCAGCATGATGTATCCAGTCCCATAACTCTGACAACAGGCTAACCAGGGGATACAGCATGATGTATCCAGTCACATAGTTCTGACAACAGGCTAACCAGGGGGTACAGCATGATGTATCCAGTCGCATAATTCTGACAACAGGCTAACCAGGGGGTACAGCATGATGTATCCAGTCACATAACTCTGACAACATGCTAACCAGTGGGTACAGCATGATGTATCCAGTCCCATAACTCTGACAGGCTAACCAGGGGGTACAGCATGATGTATCCAGTCACATAGTTCTGACAACAGGCTAACCAGGGGGTTCAGCATGATGTATCCAGTCCCATAACTCTGACAGGCTAACCAGGGGGTACAGCATGACCTATCCAGTCCCATAACTCTGACAACATGCTAACCAGTGGGTACAGCATGATGTATCCAGTCCCATAATTCTGACAACAGGCTACCCAGGGGGTACAGCATGATGTATCCAGTCCCATAACTCTGACAACAGGATAACAAGGGGGTACAGCATGCCGTATCCAGTCACATAACTCTAACAACAGGCTAACCAGGGGGTACAGCATGTCGTATCCAGTCCCATAATTCTGACAACAGGCTAACCAGGGGGTACAGCATGATGTATCCAGTCCCATAATTCTGACAACAGGCTACCCAGGGGGTACAGCATGATGTATCCAGTCGCATAATTCTGACAACAGGCTAACCAGGGGATACAGCATGACATTTCCAGTCCCATAATTCTGACAACAGGCTAACCAGGGGGTACAGCATGACGTATCCAGTCACATAACTCTAACAACAGGCTAACCAGGGGGTACAGCATGACGTATCCAGTCCCATAACTCTGACAACAGGATAACCAGGGGGTACAGCATGACGTATCCAGTCACATAATTCTGACAACAGGCTAACCAGGGGATACAGCATGACGTATCCAGTCACATAACTCTGACAACATGCTAACCAGGGGGTACAGCATGATGTATCCAGTCACATAACTCTGACAACAGGCTAACCAGGGGTGTAAAGCCAGATGCCAACTAAAGAAAGAATAAGTAAGAGAGAATAGATACAGGTCCCAAGTGTTGGGATGAGGGGAGCAGGGCCATTTTGTCTTCCTCTGTGTCCCCTAATTATTTAAGTGGACACACAAACCTGCTGGATCTGTAGTGAAGGCAGAGGTAAAAGTAAAAAGTAAAACTCTCATGCAACAGGATAAAGACAACTTCTCTAACATCAGCAACCCAGCTTGAGACACCCTTTCCAACTTGTACAAAAATCACACTGAAAACCCTCAGAACTTCTATTTTTCATAGGATGATAGAACCTATAATGTGCCAAAATATTCATGTTAATTAAAATACATAATTTTGAAGTGTTAGTACTGATTTAGTTAATCACTCCAAAATAATGGCAAGTATAATGTTTTTTTTCCAAGTTGTAAGTTTTCTTTATGTATTTTCATTTTCTATAAGCTATATGATGATTTTTGTGAGATTGTGATTTTAAAGCTTAACCTATTTAAATGATATTGTGAATTAAATCCTTACATATTGATACAAACTTTGTTTGAAAAGACTGAAAAAAACCTATAAACTAGAAATGTGTCAGTAACACATGGATACCCTGACAAGTTTAGAACAAGTTAAGGTCACAGAGGCCAAGGACAAAGGTCAAGGTTACAAAAATGTCATGTCTCATGTTGTACTCATAATGGTCATTCAGTTATATGTGAAGATACTTGACCATATCTGAATATAACCAGGAGTAGTCCATAACTGACCTTAAAGCAAGAAATGGACATGCATGCGCAAGAATATACACTATAGGCCTATGACAAGGATATACACTATAGGCCTATGACAAGGATATGCACTATAGGCCTATGACATTATACAATATAGGCCTATGACATTATACAGTATAGGCCTATGACATTATACACTATAGGTACACTATAGGCCTATGACAAGGATATACACTATAAGCCTATATGACAAGGATATACACTATAGGACTATGACAAGAATATACACTATAGGCCTATAACAAGGATATACACTATAGGCCTATGACATTATACAATATAGGCCTATATGACAAGGATATACACTAGAGGCCTATATGACAAGGATATACACTATATGCCTATGACATTATACAATATAGGCCTATGACATTATACACTATAGGTACACTATAGGCCTATGACAAGGATATACACTATAGGCCAATGACAAGGATATACACTATAAGCCTATATGACAAGGATATACACTATAGGCCCATATGACAAGGATATACACTATAGGCCTATAAGACAAGGATATACACTATAGGCCTATGACATTATACAATATAGGCCTATATGACAACGATATACACTATAGGCCTATGACAAGGATATGCACTATAGGCCTATGACAAGGATATACACTATAGGCCTATATGACAAGGATATACACTATAGGCCTATGACATTATACAATATAGGCCTATATGACAAGGATATACACTATAGGCCTATGACAAGGATATGCACTATAGGCCTATGACATTATACAATATAGGCCTATGACATTATACACTATAGGCCTATGACATTATACACTATAGGCCTATGACAAGGATATACATATATATAGAAAATTACACCTTTTGAGTTGTTTGATATGACAAACCTTTGAAGTTGATATACTATTTAGATTAATGCTTTCACCACCTGCCTACATAATAACACGGTATAATGGTTATTAACTCCCACATTTCCTACTTACCCGAGAGAAACACACAGTACCCTACGAAATGTCTAATTCAATAACTTTCATCTCTATCAACGTGTGTAACTTGTAGAAAACTGTCCAATAGGTCCATACAGACATATATTAATGTAATAAAATGTGCTTAAAAGGTTTTATGAATGTCAATAAACGTTTCATCCATCTTTATTGACCTTTAGGGTTTTACGGATGGGTTCTATCATTGGCCATGTAACACCACTACGACAAACCAACCAGGAACACTCACCTATCTTATCAATATACATTGACTAATAGGTCATTTCAAAAATATATGACAGTTATCAAATACAACATCAATGAGATTATGGCAGATATTTTATGTGTTTATAGTTTTATTGGATAGTATGAAGCTGTTGAATTGAGAAGGGTCTTTATTAGGAGACAGGTAAAATCTAAATCTACCAATGTCATGAATACAAATAATCTTGCCATCAAATCAAAATAAATATGACACAAGAACATTTTCACTAAGTTCTATTTATATATAATTCTGGTGACAAACAAAATGTTTCTTTTTTTTGATAGTTCAAACCAATGTCTTATCTTTTTAATGACTATTTACCAGATTTTATAACAATATTTACTTTTAAGCAGCATCTTTTTGGATCATCCTTTGACCTTATTTTCTACACCTCATCATGATGTTAAACACATAATTCATAACTGACTCTCACCTTAGTACAGGAGCACTCGAGTTGACAGCCGACATATCCTCAGAGTTAATCACGGAGACAGCTGGTTTTAGTTTGTTTTTGTGATTTTTCGGTAAGGTGTTAGATGTAATGATTTTAGGAAAGCTTGCTCCCTTCTTTTTATGTTTAGATTTAAAGTTGATCACACTGGAATGGAAAATAGAAACAAAATCATTTTCATCAATTTTTATGAAATATGCATATTCAAAATTGATGAAAAGGGAACCAAACCATATTCATATTTTAAAAAAAATATACGTTTTATGAAAAGTGCGGTATTGGCCATGAAGTATGTGTCTATACCTCAGGTCTGTTCCTTTGTCAGTGTTGGTTTTGACCCCACTAGGGATCTGGGGTAGCTTCAGTCCCATCTCATTATGTTCCTCAGCCAGGTAGGACACCTGCGAGTCGTCCTTCAGGTGAGCACTCTTCTCACGGAAATAATTGTCCTGGCGATACAGTTTCAGTCTCCTCTAAAAGATCACACAATTCATAGATAAAGCGATGTGGTACACCTATTCAGTTTGAATTTAAAATATCACCAATTTATTAAGGTTACTATCATTATGACAAACATAATCAGCCATTCCAAATGAACAGGTGTTTCATCATAATAAAATCATGCACTTTCATCATTTTATTAACTGCACAATGAATGTGATAAAACAGTGACATCACCTAAACACGCTGGTAATACATGTGTATCTAACCATCATTTGGTGATATACCTTTTCATAGTGTGTGAGTTGGTGATATATCACTACACGAACTAGTGATATCACTTAAGGATTACCGACATCTGCCCAAAATTGTAACTACAAATTGCAAACTGTTTTTCCAGCATGACCATGTTTTGATGAATCATTCTTAAAAAGAAAACCATCCCCACTGATATACCTTGTACGACTTTTATGATAAAATAATATACCGGGAAAAAATCAACAATATAGTGTTCTGAGTGTAAAAATTCAGTGGGGCCAAATCACTGGACTTCAGATTGTTATACTGTTCCTCTAGTTAAGTGAGCTACCTGTCAACAGATCATTATGGCCCAACTGTGCTAAAGTTATATCTAAAACTAAGGGAGGCTACTCACTATACACGAAAAAACACAGTGCAGTACGCGGAACAGGGATCCTTAATGATTCTGGTGATACCACCCATTTCATTTGATAGTAGTAGTAAATAATTTTATCAAATTTGTAATATTTATCTTTGTGAAATAAATATTTTATTGGCTTTTTATGTTTTGCAATCTTAAATGTATGTATTGGTCAGCATGATGGATTTTCTTAGCCAAGATACACATTATGAAATACTCATTAAGACAAAGCAGATAACGTCACATCAAAACCGTTTATTATCTTAAAACATTAAGGTTCATTGTTAAATTTATTGTTTAAGTATAAAATAACACAATTGTGGACTTAAGCGATAGTAAATATGATGAAATATGGACCAAACAAAATTATATTAACCTTGGTCAATACAACTCTTCGGGTTCATAATACATCCTATTCACAATAGTTATATTCTTTTTTTTTTATTATTCAGGATTTCAGTGTTAAGTTTTGCTAAGAAATATGATTTTTGCTATTTTAACATTAATAGCACATAAGTGAAGTAAAATGCCTAGCTATCATCAGTTTGACAATATCTGTTGATGACTCAATTCTGAGTGACACAATGCAGTTTACAAATCATAACAGGGACTTAATCTACAGTCTAAAGAGTATGTGCTTTAACTAGGAGTGTCGGCAGTATGTGTGCAAAGATGAAAATATCTAAACAAAAGCTTTAATTATCTACACCATATATACATGTAAAGTGACACAACCGGTCCTCAATATGCACACTACATCTTGGGTTGAAAAAGAAAACAAGTATGAGCTTGTGTAAGAAAAAAGCAAAGCATAAAAAGGAACATAGAATTAATAAACAAATGAAAAAAATACACTTGTAAACACAAAAATTAATATTAAAAATGAAACATACACCTTCATCAGTTTTAAGATTAACATTTCTTTTACAACGGACATACATGTACAACGGACATACATGTACAACGGACAGTTGTACATACTACATGTACAACGGACATACATGTACAATGGACATACATGTACAATGGACATACAAACTGTTACAACTAAGCTCAATCCACATGTTGTCAGTTGAATTAATTCCTTGAAATTGTAAAATTATAATAGTTTTGAATATTACTAATTATCAATATCCACATTATTATCAAACATCAGAAATCAGCAATATCAAGCTATGGTTAAGTAGGTTTTTTTCAAATTAATTCAGTTCAAATGTATCAACAAAAACAAGTATCTGGTATTTTTGCTTTTTTCCCCCCCTGATGATAATAATTTTTATTCAAAACACCTTTTAATTTTGTTACTTTAAAACCAATTTTATTGATCAAATTTGTTCAACAATTTATTCAAACTATTTGTCCACTCACATTTCTGATATTTTTGTTTAGAAAGATATGATGCAAAAAATAGGTTAGAATTTTGATAGTAATAATCGATAAAACTTTCAAGGAAAGGGCTTTGTATAAGTTGCATAATTTGTACCCAGTTCTGTTGCTATATTAAGGCAATCAAATATGTTTAAATAAAAAAATAATATAAAACTGAGTCAGTTGGGCAGGAATAAATGAAGGTACAGGTATTCTCATAGATAATTTTAATTCACTAATTGTGTAATGAGTCAGTATCCCAAAGTATTTGCAGTGCAGCACAGTTGACAGACAAGGTCTTCCATGTCTATGCATGTATATGAAATAGTACAGTAATTCCTGGAACTATTACCACACAAACTGTAAAAACTCTCCATACTAATAACATCATACTGTACCCGCTTCTCATTTTGTTTCTCCCTGTCCCTTTTCTGTTTGATAATGGAAATGTTTAATTCAACAAAATACATTATTATTCTATAAATAAGAGTATAATAAAATTTGATTATTGCTCAAATTGGCATGTGGACCAATATTGAAGTCACATATCAGATATTTGTCAGTACCGGACAGGATTCAATAAAAATGTAGAAATCATATTTTTTTCAGTTTAAAAATTGATGGTCAGTGAAAAATGTGAACGATTCCACTTGAATAAAAATGATAAGATGACCACTGGTAAAAACTGTGATACCTTCACAGAAAAGAGCAAATAAGATGAAAACATTTCCAAAGTTACCTGAGCTTCTCTCATGGCAGGTGTACTAACAGACTTGAAGTCCATTCCCGGGAAGTGACTTTTGGCGTTGTAGATAAAATCACGGTGGACGTTAGGCTGCATCACGGTATACAGGAACTGGAACTGGTTATGACCGCTCCGCCTCAGGAGGTTCTCCATCAGCTGACATCGCTGTAATGTGGAAACATTTTTTTTCATCAATCAATACAGACAAAATAATACTGCAAAGGAATCTATCCCAGTATTCAAGAATATTACATTACCAATTCAGCCTAATCACAAACACCCAGATGCTTTGTAATTTGGGATATATAAGAATGACTGTTGCAAAATTTGTAAATTAAAGTGAAGAGATGGAAGGTTGGACTAGAAAGAGGAGAGGGGTATATCAAATGGATGGGCTCTTATTATACTGAATACAGCACATATGTATATGTTCTTCAACAGCTGTACTGAGGTGTTGCTCAAATCAACATGATGTAAATGAGGTCACATTTTATGGCTGGTTTAAAATGGGGGTCAGTTTAAAAGGTCAGTTGTAATGTATAAATGTGACCTAGTTTTACATAAAGGTCAGTCGAAAAGGTCAATTGCCATGTATAAATATGACCTTGTTTTGCATGATATTCAGGTCAGTGGCAATACCTAAATTTGACTTAGTTTTAAATGAAGGTCAGTCTAAAAGGTAAATTGCAATGTCTTATAAATATGACCTAGTTTTACATGAAGGTCAGTCTAAAAAGTCAATTGCAATGTCTAAATATGACCTAGTTTTACATGAAGGTCAGTCTAAAAGGTCAATTGCAATGTATAAATATGACTTAGTTTTACATGGAGGTCAGTCTAAAAGGTCAATTGCAATGTCTTATAAATATGACCTAGTTTTACATGAAGGTCAGTCTAAAAAGTCAATTGCAATGTCTAAATATGACCTAGTTTTACATGAAGGTCAGTCTAAAAGGTCAATTGCAATGTATAAATATGACTTAGTTTTACATGGAGGTCAGTCTAAAAGGTCAATTGCAATGTCTTATAAATATGACCTAGTTTTACATGAAGGTCAGTCTAAAAAGTCAATTGCAATGTCTAAATATGACCTAGTTTTACATGAAGGTCAGTCTAAAAGGTCAGTTGCAATGTCGTAAGAAATTCACATTCGCCTTGCTTAGCTATGATTTCTTGTAAGTTCAATGTTACTCATGACATGACAAAGTAATATGCTACATACTGCAAAATTTGAAGTTTTGCAAAAGTCTGTGGTTAATTGCAGAACGTTGTTGCCAATATCAGACTTGTTAAAAGTTACCAAAAAGTCATGGAAAAAAACACTGCATGATTACACTGAACTAGAATACTGACAGGTCAGCAAGGGCCCCGCTATAAGCAAAAGCAAAAGTGATCATTTTAGATTAAAGGATATTGATGATATGGCCTTATTCATGTATGTTATCCTGAGTATAACTGCAGTAATTAAACAGAAGTATTGCAAGGACCTTATATGATTATTTTTACTGTATATTCCCATTCTCGTTTTTAGTAACAGCGACCTTGACCTAGGAATTTGTTAAACCTGCCTATTGCACATCTGTGTATTATCAAAATGTATCATCATAAGAAATTTCATTAAGTTTGGCATTCTGTTAGGGCCTAATACAATGTATTTTTGACAGTATATTCCCAATTCTATTTTTAGTAACAGTGACCTTGACCTTAGAAACTGTTTAAACCCCTATTGCACATCTGCATATCACAGTGTATCATCATGTGAAATTTCAAATAATCTCTGGAAACGAAAGTGCTGATGGACAGACAGACGGATGGACTCCGTGATTACTTAACAGGGCACCTGCATTAATGTGGGGGCCTAATAAAAGAAACACCATGTGATAACATGAATTACTAGCTGATTTAAGACCTTGATATAATACTCTGTGTTTTACTAATGGTCCATCGACCATGCTATCTATTACAGTTTTTCCTGTTAATGCATGTATTATCTATTACCTCACTTGCATTATGCATAAACCACACCAGCTTACAGATATATTTTTTCAGTTCAACGATTTCAATCTTTAAGTAGCAGTTAAACTGAATACTGATCAAGTAGCCTGCCTGTTAGGTTTTACATGGAATCACACGACATCAAAATGCACTTACATAAGAAATAGCAGGCTGTTCTCTCATACACACACCTCATTTAACATACAGCTCAAGTTTCAAGAGCTCTTGTCCTGCGAATATTTGTTCATATCTTGAAAAGTAAATAAAGCACATTGGCAATCGGCTATCTTTGATGATCAGACCTGATATTGCCATAAGAGACGGATGACTTTCTTACTTTCTGTCAAGTCTACGAGAGATACGAGTAGTCATCGGCTCAGTGTTTAAACACTTCATGTAGACATCAATATTTACAAGATCTACCCTTAAAACATACATATATCTTAAACCTGTTATTTAAGTCTGGTGAGATGCACTCCAGGCAGTAGTCTAATATAATGTACACTGTCGATATACATAATACATGTACTCTCCTTGACAAATTCAAGTTCCTTTCTGGAGCCTACATGTACAGTCAGGCACAAAAACGCTCCCTTATACCTTCAAATTAAACATTTTTCAAATTGTTTTTTTCCTTTTGTTTCAAATTCCTACTGTAAACAAAAATCAAGCGTAAAGTTAGCATTCAACCTCCAGTATTCGTTCTGACAGACAATTTAGGATTGAAGCAGATTTTCTATTGAGCAAGTGGATTGTACTTCAGATCAACAAAAATAAATCCCATTTACATATTAATGTAATATCAATTATACCATTTTAATGTATGGGAATGGACGCTAACAGATCTAGAGGAACCATGCCTATCATCGATTCTATTTGTCACAAGCTGTCTATAGTTGCTTTGTGTGGTTGTTATATATTATCTAAAAAAACAAATATTTATTGTAGAGAGTCTCATGCAGCACAGGTTTAATTTAAGCAATGAAAATGGTTCCAATAATTTTCAAAAGAATTTAGTTGGTCTAGCGGAAAGATGAAGTCTTTATTTTAAGTAAGCCAATCAGATATATAAGATGTTGTTGAAAATCCACCTGTGAATTTCAGAGGAGAAGTCTTGTGAAGGTTTTGCATCATGTGACCTCATAAGGCCCCACCCATCAGCCCCATCCTGACTATAGTATAAAACCCGGTAGATTCGTATCCAACATCAGACTAATGTTTTTTAAGAAGTCAAAAATGTGATTGTTTATGCACGACACACAACAGATGCGAGGTGATTGCAATAGGTCACCTGAGCGACTCATGTGACCTAACAAAGAGAAATTCCCATCAATGAATGTTAAATATAAGTTAATTGTTTAGTGTTTCACAACATCTACAGATGTCTACATATTATGCTATTTAACCATCATAGTTAGTTCATATCATTAGATGTAATGCTTAGCTGTTCATATAAAAATTAATGAAAATCAATAAATTGTTTGCTTTACAATTTTATTCAGAATTATGAAAATATCCATGCCTAAACTTATCTTACACAGCCTATATTGTCAGATAAACATGTGCTTTGAGGTAAAAAATACAAGAGTTTTATCAAAATGTGTACTTACACACTGGGTTGTTATATCAAGAAAGTCATATCAATGTGTCTGATATATGGTACATTTTGTAAAACCAACTGTAAGCTACACTGGTATGTCATTGATTCCTATACCCCACTCTCCAAAAAACAATCTACACTTGTGCATCAACACTGTCTTAAATAACTTACCTGACACTTCATATCTAGTTATCATAAAAATGTATCAATGTTTTCATTTCCATAAAGAGATTCAATATTGATGTTTGACCAGCGTTTGTGTATTGGATTTGGATAGTTTTAACTGGGTTATGTTGTCACAGAAATCAATGGTCATAATGAAATCTTGCTAAGGAAAAAAATATGATCAATGTCAGATTTGGTCGTTGTCAAAACATTGATAGATTTGTTCAATATATCACAGCAAGATTACATAACGTCCATATGGTGGAGCAATACCGTATTTGACAGAAATCAAATTATCATTACTCAATTTACCATGGGATTAAATATGGTGATCACAGCTACCAATCATTTAAAAATGTGCAGGTAAATATGCTCAAATGACAAACATGTTGATCCCTATGATTAAAATGTCAAAATGAACAAATAGTTACGGGATAAAACATGTTTAAAACAAATCAATTTATACGGAAATTGAGTCTGTAAAGACCGTGCTACCTGTATCAGTAATGATGATTGGCTATTTTCTGGCAGGGTTATCTGGTACAGTATAGGTAATGATGACTGGCTATTTTCTGGCAGGGTTATCTGGTACAATATCGGTAATGATGACTGGCTATTTTCTGCCAGGGTTATCTGGTACAGTATCGGTAATGATGATTGGCCATTCTTTTGCAGGGTTTCCTGGTGTATATATATATACACAGGGTTGTTTACTGAGATTTACATCAACCTCTAAATATAACCATAATGGTCTACCGTCATCATTTTGTGAAAGGATATTGACAATATAATCCCAGTTAATCACCCATACCTACCTGGCATTATACTTGGCCTGGCCATTGTGTGATTTATATGTTAATTTCCTTATGGCACTACAGAGCATAGGGCTGCCAGGACCACAGGTTTAATCTTTGGCCTGGTGTTATACAGTTAAAGTATGAGCTTGCAGCAGGCTATAGTCAGTTTCTGATTCTCAGTCTATGACAGGCAAAGCTGACAGCAAAAGATCTTGTTGAAGGGACCACTGAAATTTGCTATATTCTGAAATCCCATTTTTCAAAAGCACTGTTTCCGGACACTTGTCAAGAGCCATATGTTTTGTTGACAACTGTGAATGGTCAGGTCAGTACAAGCTGACCGCTCACCTCTCACCCAGTTAGCTTACATGTTCATTTCCATGAGGAAGTTACAGAAACTGCCAAGGGAGTTAGTCTTCAAGGGTATTTTAGTTTTAAACTAAAGGATTGCTTTTAATGTACTAACTCCCTGTACAGCAAATTCAGGGCAAAAGCAGGGATGTAGTTCATTTAAGAATTCCTTTTGTATAGAGTAGATACAGCAGAGGAACATATACTGATATAGCCTTCCATGGTCTGCCAGTAACAATTAGAAATGTAGTGTTAAT